TCATACTGGGTGCTCCTGCAGGGGGCGCTAGAGACAGGCACAGCAAGCCCCAGGTTCCTGCCCTCATGGAGCTTACAGGGTAAGGAATGCCAAGTAGCATCCTTTGTCACCATCTTTTGAATTGCGCTTCTTTCTTGGGCTGATGCGTCCATGTGCTGTTTGTGAGTCTACAGCTCACTTTCATGTAATAGGAAAAAGCCTCCCCGGAAAGGGGAAATTTAAAACAGGTACCCGGTGGAACAAAAGCAAGGTCGCTTGGCAGACCCAGGTCCGTAAAAGGCTCCCTCGTAGCCAGTACAAGAGCAGCAGCTGATGGACAAGGTCTAGAAGGAAGGTCCAGAGGCGAAAGGGACACTGTTCTAGAAGGCTGGAGGTGGCTAACGCTCCATGGCTGCGGAGTCATTAAAACCGAGAGCCTGCCCCAGTTTCTCGTCTTTTCCATCCAGCTTTTCTCACGGTTCCCACTTAAGCTTTAACACTGTAAATACTGTAATTTAACCTATGAAAACACAGAAACTGCTCCAGAGACGTTAAGAACCAAATAAAAATTGACTTTCACCCATGACACCTCAGTCGGCAGGATTTCATTATTTATTTACGAAGGAAGTGAAAACTTAGACTATGTCCACCTTTTACTGATTCAAACCAGGCTGGGCCACACACACACACACTTCAGAGGAGCAATGTCTCACCAGGACCCTGATCCAAATATTCACTTTGTGATAATTTTTGTAAATTTTTTCTTTTAAATATGGTGTCATTAAGCATTTTTATTTCTAGCAAAGGAACACCCTTTTCTCTTTGCTTAAATTAACAAAATAACTTGTATTATCTTTGGAAAATTACAGTTGTCCAGGATTCCAAAGGCCTCTACTAAACCAGTTTTCTGTTTGAGTGGAAACCATTTCAAATGAATCAAGTGAAAACCACGTTCATTGTGTCCAGGTTGACCAATGCTTATGCAGTGATGGAGGGACGGGTTATAGGGACTTTTCCTAACTCCTAAAGAGACATCCAGCCATTTCCAAACAAGTCTTTCTCCTGTCCCTTTCCTTACATTCACATTAACAGTTAAATGGTGGCAGAAGCCAATGTGGAGCCCCTAGTGGTAGAAGACTGGTGCTTCAATGAGCTTCTATGAGCCCTGGTTCAGCTTCAGGGTGGGCAACAGGGTCTCCACTGGACCCACCATTCTACAGAGTAGGTTATAATCGTCCCCTGTGGTTAAGTATATTGATGAATAAAAACAGGGCTTTGCCTGGCTGGTAACCGCAGACCGATAGGGGCTTGCTTCACCAAGAGCCTCCCCAAAGCCCCACTCCAGTATTACTCTCAGTCCCAAGCCTTCAATGAGGAATAACCATCGGCCCTTAACAACTGTATAAAAGAGATCAAACTCCTAGAAGCACCATGCTCCAATCCAGGCCAAAAAATGCCTGGCCTCTGGTATACAGGATTCACCCCAGGCCTCCCCTGCCTGATCCTGATGACAGACTGCTCTCTGGTCCTGGCAAATGGGTGTCCCTTTGGAAGGCTCCCAATCCATGGGAGGTTCTGACAGTGAGAACCTTCACTGCCCTGTTTGGAGGGAGGGAGGAGCCGCCAAGTGCTCCAAACAGCTGCAAGGCCACAGTGGAGCCTCCCAGCTGTCCCTGGGGCAGGGCTGAAAGCAGCATACCCTCAGTATTTTTAGAGAGGACTTCCTCAATGGCATAATGAGGCTCTTCTAAAGGAAATCACCCAGAGCGGTACAACTCCCCTGATGAATCTAGCTGTTCGAAATGAAAAACATATGCGCACATTCTGAAAATAGAAAGCCAGGATTAGATAAAGCAGCATTTGAGACGGGAAATAATTTTAGGTGCTTGTGATAAAACAAACAAAAAATGTATAGATTAAAAACTTATACTGCTTCTAGACTTTTCACTGAACCAAAGGATTTGTTAAAGAAATTCTAAAATAGAGCGGGTGGGTGTGGTAGCACACACCTATAATCCTAGCACTTGGGAGAATCAGGGATTCAAGGCCATTCTCAATGCCAACAGTAAATTTGAGGCCAATATGAAAGCCACATGAGATCTTGTCAAAAAAAAAAAAAAAGTAACTATTACAGACATTTTATTCTTTTGGAGTGAAGTTTTTCTTTTGGAGTGAAGTTTTTACCATCTTTACATGATGGAAAAATATACTCTTTGTGCTCTTATTTTAGAATTCTAGATCAAGTTCAGTATTTAGCTTAAAATTATATATAAAACAGCATAGTTGGGTTCTGAAGCATTGTTAAACTCATTCTTTACCTATTATTTTTAAAATATATTGACAACTGGACATGATGGTGCCCACCTGTCAGTTCAACACTCCTGAGTCAGGAAGATCACAACTCTGAGATCAACCTAGGCTACTCAAAACACAGAATATATTCCAACTCCAAGAAGGAACTCTGGGAGGGCTGGGGGTGTGGCTCAGTGGTAGATTCTGCCTAGCATGTTCCAGGCATTGGGGTCAATAACTCTGGTACCACAAAACCCCAAAAAGAATTGTTTGGCAATTGTGTCTATAATCATACTACCAAACTCACACTTCACATGTGGGTCTGTATACCATTGGGTGGGTGGGAGGTGGGGATAGGAGGTGCTTTCTAGCTTTCTGAGCTATGGCTGCTTAGCCTGGAAACATTATGCCTGGGAAGTTGTTTCCTTAATGGATTGCAGAGACCCTTTACAAACGGTTTGAAAGTCTTTTCAAAGATCCATCAAAGAAGTAATGGAAACGGAGGCAGGGTGTGATCTGGGGACCATGCAATGCTTGGCTAGGGACAGTATATCCCACCAACATAAGACTGTCCTTGGAATATGAGTGTCATTAATAGTCACATATAATACCTATTTATGGCCAGCATGTTATTCTCAAGGTTTTTCTTTCCCTAATTACAAAAAAAAAATGCATTAAGTTCCCTTAAAATCAGGCAGTTAATGCTTCAGTTTATGTGACCACTGTGTGTCAGGGCTGTGCTCCGGCTCACTGCCAAGGCCTGCACTGTCACTTACAAGCAGTTGGTGATGCTGGTGCATCTTGTGAACTGAGCCTGTCAGTCAGAACAGCCCCTCCAGAGCCTTCTTCAGATGACTGGCTTACATCACCCATCTTTGAAGCCTTCACAGCCACTTGCAGACTTTCAGCTAAGAAGGAGAAAACCAAAACTAAATTCAAACAGTAATTATATAGAGTTTAGTCTACCAGGTGTGTCCAAGATGTACCGGGTGGAAGGCACATGCCCCAGATGACCACAAATAAAGCTCAAGGCAACACTGTAGATTTATATATAAAACAGCATAGTTGGGTTCTGAAGCATTGCTAAACTCATTCTTTCCCTCATTTTTAAAATATATTGACAACTGGACATGATGATGCCCACTTGTCAGTTCAACACTCCTGAGATCATTTTGAGAATTAACTAATTAATGTGATTGTAACTCTGTCACATGGCTCTTGAGCAGATGACAATCTATTGCATCATAATGGTTAGATGCTGTGATTGACCAAAGGGTGGTAAATCATATTTGCTCTGCAACTGTTGTACTGTAGCTCAAAGAACTAAAGTTAGGTCGGTTGATCCTTCCTTCCTTCCTTCCTTCCTTCCTTCCTTCCTTCCTTCCTCCCTCCCTCCCTCCCTCCCTCCCTCCCTCCTTCTTTCTTTCTTTCTTTCTTTCTTTCTTTCTTCCCTCCCTCCCTCCCTCCCTCCCATGAAATAGGGCCTCATGTAATCCAGACTGAACTCAAACACCTATTTTTTGTTTGTTTGTTTTTTGTTTTTCAAGACAGGGTTTCTCTTTGCCTTTGTAGGCTGTCCTGGAACTAGTTCTTGTAGACCAGGCTGGTCTCGAACTCACAGAGATCAGCCTGCCTCTGCCTCCCGAGTGCTGGGATTAAAGGCATGTGTCACCAATGCCCGGCTTCAAACACCTATGTAGCTAAGGATAATCTTGAACTTTTGCCCTCCTGCCTTTACCTCTCAGGTGCTGGGATTCCAGGCACGGTCCATTATGGCTGGTTTATATGAGGCAATAATTGAACCTAAGGTTTGACACATGTTCAGCAAGAATTGTACCAACTGCATGCATTGTGTCCCCAACCTGCTTTCATAGTACTAAAGGTTGTATAAACACATTCAATTATATCCCAAAAGGGTGTGACCTGCAAAGACTAAAGTACTTACATCTGGCCCCTTACAAAAAAAAAAAAAAAATAACCAACCCTGCAGTCTATACCGACTGACTGAATCCTTTGTGAGTGAATTTAACAGTTTTAAAAATCCACTGTATAAAATGTCTCAAATGGAATTTTCTTTTTAGTAAATTAGTAAGTTGAAAACCGTCCTGTAATTCAGTTAATATGCATACACTATCAGGTATTCAGATTTAAGACATACTAGCTATTCCTCAAAAGAATGTTTCTTTGAACTTGCTTTTTTTTTTTTTTTTGAGAGAACTAGCTGTTCTTCCAGAGATCTTGAGTTCAATTTCCCATCAAAACCACATGATGGCTCACAACCGTCTGTAATGAGATCTGCTTCCTCTGCTGGTGTGCAGACAGAACACTGTATACATAGTAAATAAATATTTTTAAAAAAGAATATATTTTGTATTCTTTTTGTTTTGTTTAGTTTTTTTATATATTTGAATTACAAACAAGATTGAATTACACGAACTTGCTTTTAATGACACACATTCCCATCTATGCTCTAGTCCTCTTGGGAACTACCTCACCAAAAGAGACACGTGTACTTGCATAAAGGAGTCTCAGCTAGCATGTGGAATGTTACTCTTTCTAGGGCCTTATAATTATTTCTCAAGTATCCTCACCACATTCCACTGACAAAACTCCTCACGGAGCATCTACTGTCCTGGTGCAAGGGTTATTTGATGACTAACCAGAGGGGACTTGAAAGAGAAAAGGAAAGGAGACACTTGCAGCTCTGGCCACATGGAGGTGCAGGAGAGCAACAGTCCCAAGTGGGACTGGGGAGAAGTTCCTAAAAAGGGGTAGGAACTGAACAGACCTGGGAGGATGGTTAGGATTCAAGAAGAGAAGGGAAGGAAAATATCAGTCCAGCAGATCAAAGGGGCTTTTCAGGGTGTGTACTCAACTGTCTTTCTTTTTTTTAAAAAAAATATTTATTTATTATATATACAGTATTCTGTCTGCATGTAACCCTGAGGACCAGATCTCATTACAGATGGTTATGAGCCACTATGTGGTTGCTGGGAATTGAACTCAGGACCTCTGGAAGAGCAGCCAGTGCTCTTAACCTCTGAGCCATCTCTCCAGCCCCAACTGTCTTTCTTGAGACAGCAATGTCCTTACCCATAGGAGAACTGTTCAGGTGCAGTCAGGTATGGAACAATGACCCAGGGAGGATTCTCATCTGCAGCTTACATGGCCTACATGGTGCCTCCACTGCGGTGGGTTCCCCTGAGTATCCTAGTTCCTTCATCATGTGGTAAGACTAAAGAAGAAAAGCCAATGGGCTTCCAAGCTCTCGTTAGGGAAGACAGGACAGAGAGAAGAAAGTAGAAGCCACTAGCTAATTATAAGAGCAGGTGACTTGGTCCATTAAGGCTTGTGTGAGAAGGGTACCATGGGTGCCTGTTAGCATCCTTTGCTTTATTTCCCAAACATGCTCCAAATCTGTCTGTGACTCTGCTTCCATTACAAGTGGTCCTGGACATCCGATGTAAGTAAGATTCACTCCCTTTCTATAGCTCTGTAGTTCTCCACTTCCTTTATTCCATTTATTTTTTGTCATAGTACTTTATAATCTGACATACATATTTCTTTCTACTTTGAAATTTCTGGAACATAGGTTCTAAGAGAATAAGTATTCTGTTTCATTCTGCTGCACCCTCAGCACCAAGACCACCGTGTGTGACATGAGTAGGCGCCCAGTAAACACATTCTGAGTCTGTCAAACTAAATAACTTGCCTTCTTTCAGGGCTGCCGCCAGCAGGGAGGCTGCCTGGGGAGGCTCTCCCGGGTCAGGCTTGATGAGCAGGTGGGGTTCTAGGTGGACATCCTCGAAGCCACTCAGTTCCCCAAGTTCAGCGTAGATATGCAGCTTTTCTTCCAAATATGTGCAAATTTGTTGGTCTTGGTTAGTGAGTATCTCTGTGGAATAGTATTCATCATAAGAGAGTAGCATGAGCATGGATAAGAAACTGATATGGAAATAAAGTTAGGGGAAAAGACACCATGATTTAGCAAGCAGTCAGACCCAACACTTCCATTGAGTGAGAGAGACCCAAATTCAAATTCTGATGCCTTCACTTAGTGACTGTAACCTCCTGCAAGTGACTTGACATCTCTCCCATCATCCATTGCACTTGATCAATAAATCTACCTTTCCCCTTCTCCAAATTCTAGAAAACCTTGCAAAGCTATTCTTTGTTTATGGGGACAGCTTTCTATTAAGATTGAATACCCAGCTCAGCAAAGAGAATTGAGACAGCCCTCTTCAACAAGTGAAGACTCCTAGAGGTGAACAGTGCAGGGCTGAGAAACCTGTCTTCAGTGTCTGTCTTGGCCAGAACCAAAGCTAGTTTATGGTTCTGCTTCTAAACATCTAGGTTCTATGACTATCTTTGCATGCATCAATTTCCCCCTGACTTCAATGTGTTACATTGAAGCCTAGAGTCTTAAAGCCTAGAGACGCTACCCCCCCCCCCACGTGCCTCTAACATAAGGCCTGGTGTTGAGAATTAGTGAGATAAACATATTTCTTGACATCACAGGGTACTCGATGGCCCTGCCACTTGAACTCCTTGTCTAGTCACAGAAGCTTGACATGGTAGAAACCTCAGTGCTCACCAAGACCACATGACCCACAATTACTGTTTCATATGTGTTATGTGTATATGCACGACTATCTTAGTCACTTGTACCTTGTGTATGGATGGGCAATTTTAAAAGGTGGAGGGTGGGCAGTATGGACCTCAGGCGCACACAGTTAGTAATGGTCATCATCACCACTTACAACATCAGGATTCTCCCACCGTTCAGGAACACAGGACCGGGTAGCCAGAGCTGCACACATCTTTACCTTGACACTGCTGGATTTTGGCCACTCTGGCTTCAGCTTTCCGCCTCTCTTCATCAGACTCACTTGTCCTTCCTCCTTCTTCTTCTGGACAACTTTAAAAGACAACAGTTAAGGCATCACTGAAACCAGTTCCAAAGATCTCTAAACTTATTAGAAAAACATGGGAACTTGGCAAGAGAACTAACCGCAAAGGCAAAAAATTCAGCATGAAGAGAATTCATTGTTCCTCCTTTTAAGAGATCAGTTCTCTTGAGTACGAACGTGTTACAACATAGGTTCAAAGTCTGCTCTATAGGATGATTCAAATATTCCAACCCACCCCTACCCCCACCAGCAACAGTGACATATGTCACTAAGTGCAACTCAGATAACAAAAATTTGGGTTTTGTACTTGATAGAGCTAGAGTGGAAGGGTTGTGGGACATCTGTAGGCCTCCATATTGGGTAGGTGTAGTAGAGGTGGAAGCAGTTCATCCAATTAATCAACTTACCAATAATAATTATCACGTCCACCCCCCCCCACCCCATTGATCAAAACTATCCTTGCACGAGTAACAGGCAATATGTTAACTGAGAACATTGAGATTCACCAGCCATTTATTTGAGTGGTTCCTTCGGCACATGGAGAAACAGAAAACAGGGTCCCTGCTCTCAAGGAGCTTCCAATCTAAGGGAGTACACACTACCTACATGTAAACAACTATAGGCAATAGATGGTGGGCGCCAAATCAATGCTTTAGAAAGTGGATGTGACGGCATGTCAAGGGCAACAGAGAACACCTGGACTGAAGAGGTCTTCGTGAAGCAGGAGAGCAGGAGCCACAGCAAGACACACAGGTAGAGTGGGAGGGCACGGCATGCAGGGAGATGTGCAGAGGACAGAGCTGCAGATGACATGCTACGCCAGGCAGGGATAAAGGTCAGGGGGCAGGCAATTCTGGCTGAGGCAAAGTTTACACGCAGGGGAGACATGGTTAGAATATGTTCCCCGACTGAAAAGGACATTCCATAGATGAACAACAGCAAGGTTACCTTTCCACTGCCTGCTGGATCCGCCTCATCCAGTTATTTCGTTCCTCCTTGGAATTGGTGTGGATTTCATACATCTCCGGGCCAGCAGACGATGCACTGATCAGAAACATGCCTCTCTCCTCGTTAGCAACTTCTCTAGCAATAAGCTTCTGAAGTGAAATAACTGAAGGCTTCTGGTCCTGCAAGAGTTAAGAGCATGCACTGGTGAAACCACGGTGGCGCTAAACCAAGAGTCACATGGGACCCAGGAGCTGCAGAAAGCAATAGAACTTGGGAACCTTCATCTCCCTCATCATCCTCACCTTCATCTCCCCCATTATCCTTTCAGAAGTTCTCCAGGGAAAGGGATATCACATTAACTCTCTGGTGGCTATGACAGTGTTTGGCACCATCAGCTTGAGACATGACCTTCAACACAAGACCTTGTGGGGGATATCTCTAGCTCAAACCTCAAAGCAGATGGAGAATGAGGACTTAGGGGTATAATTGCCCTCAAGGCTCTCAGGAAAGATGACTCAGTGGTTAAGAGCAAATACTGCTTTTTGCAGAGGACCTGAGTTTGGTTTGCATCACCCACATTGGGTGGCTCAAAGGCCCCCTGTAACTTCAGCTTCAGGGGATACAATGCTTCTTCATGGCCTCTCATTCACATATGCATACCCACATAGAGACATACAGATTTTTAAAAAAGTAAATATTTTTAAAGTTTGGTAGTTTAAAAGGGCATTTTTAAAGAGATCAGAGGGTGAAGAAAAATATGATAAACTACTGTGGTCAAGGAAGAAGATATAAAAAGGTATCTCTGACATTACAATACGATTGTGAAGGATGAAAAGCTAGAGCCCATTGGATTTAGAAATAATTGCAAGACAGTGATGGAAACAGAACCGTAGGAAATAAGGGGATAGGTCATCAAATACAATGTAGAAATGGGTAGACATGACCCGAGAGTCCCAGCCTTACAGGTCTCAGGCCCATAACTGCTACAGCTCTACCTATAAGTGGCTCCTTATCACCAACTAGATGAACACTGGGTAAGCAAGACTGGCCCAGACTCATTGCCTTGCATAGAAGAGGCATGCAATCAATGTCTGCAGAACTTTTAACTTGTGATCCCATCTGAGAGAAATTGGAAGAAAGTCTAAGAGTTGGTGTCCAAGGTATAATGAAATAACTTCTGTCAACATTTGCTTCAGTCTGTCAGTGCTTCCATGCTATACCCTGGAGATGAGACCTCAATAGCCCTGCACCTGGCCCAAGAGCCACAGTTAAAAGAAGGCCAAAAGAATGTCTGCAGGATCAGAGGATGTGGAGTATGGAACCTGTTTTGGTCTGTGGCTCCCACTGCTGTTTATAGAACTAACTGCAGAACATAGTTTTATCTCTTCCTTGTGGACTGGGTGAGTTTGTCTGAGTCTGTCATTCTATATTCACCATTACTGATTTCTTAGGGCTGTCTTACCTGCCTTCCCAGTATTGCATAGTTATGCCACATCTGGAGTTATTGGCAAAGTGATCTTTGGAGTGCTTTTCATGTTTTTCAGAGCACTATAGGGTGGGGGAATAGTTCATGATTGAACAGACTACTGGTCTACCCAGTCCCACACTTGGCCTCTGGAAATGGAGGGTAAATCAGTTTTAAAGTAGATCTTGAATGCCCTCTGTAATGAGAAAGGTTCTCTAAGCATTACTAAGAAACCTTTTAGTATTAGAAATCTATGTTTTTTCTGGGTGGTGGTGGTGCATGCCTTTAATCCCAACACTCGAGAGGCAGAGGCAGGTGGATCTCTGTGAGTTTGAGACCAGCCTGGTCTACAAGAGCTAGTTCCAGGACAGGCTCCAAAGCCACAAAGAAACCCTGCCTCGAACCCTACCCCTCCAAAAAAAGAAAAAGAAAAAAGAAAAAAAAAAGAAAAAAGAAATCTATGTTTTAGCTTCCTCTTTCTGTATGTAAAAATGCAAGGTGAGTTTGAGTTGCTTGATATGAAAGAATATGAAATTATTATTAGTTGGTTAGTGTTCCAGAGAAAGGGAGCTGATGACAAAAATCTTTCAAAAGTGAAGAATAAATAAAGGGTAGAAAGGAGCATTAATTAAATTCCTACCAACCAGATGGCATCAAGGGAATGCTAGTCATTATTCATATTAACTACACAAACACTAGTGAAAAACAAGGTTCAACATCCCCCAAATGAAGGCAACACATCAGCTTTGGGGACAGATGGCATGCACTGATGATGGGGACCTAATGCAGTCTGCAGGGATATTATGTTATGCCATAGCATTTTAAAGCCTTTTTTGTTTGTTTGTTTTGTTTTTTTCGAGACAGGGTTTCTTTGTGTAGCTTTGGAGCCTATCCTGGCACTCACTCTGGAGACCAGGCTGGCCTCAAACTCACAGAGATCTGCCTGCCTCTGCCTCCCGAGTGCTGGGATTAAAGGTGTGCACCACCAACACCCGGCTTTTAAAGCCATTTTTTAAAGTTAGCAACATTTATGAGTAGGAGCCTCCACCTTTTAGAATTAATCTAGAGTTGGGAGTGCATGGTAGAAACAGAAGACTGACTAGCCTGGACCATATTCTCATTTGATTTATAAACACCGCTACAGCTCAGTAAACATGACTCACCTTGACCCTAAACATGAACTCACTAGTTAAGAACCGTCCCCACTGTTACTATTTAGGCATTTGTACTGGCCTACCCTTGGAGTTCTGACAGGATATGCCCTCAGCTGCAGCCACTAAGAGCACCACCTGTGCACATTCACTATGTTCCCTTTTAAAAGGACCCTGCCCACCTCCCATCTTCCTCTCTCCCTCTCCCTCTCCCTCCCTCTCCCCCTCCCTCCCTCCCTCCCCCCCTCTCTCTCTTCTCTCCTCTCTCTCTCCTCTCTCCTCTCTCCCACTGCTCCTGTCCTCAGAGGCCAGTCTCCCCCTTCCCCTTCCCCCCTTTTATGATTCCTTTCCCCTAATTAAAAATAAAATCCTCCATTTGAACTCTATCACATGGCATTGTTCTCTCTCCCAAAGCTTTTTAAATTACAACACCCACTGCTTTCCACTGTCTTCGTCATACTCACTGTTGACTTCACTCATTTACATTCTGGCCCAATCTCTATTATAGATATCTGGAATGGAAGGTCTCTGATAACGGGGAAGGGGGAAAGGAGAGGCTCTCTGTTGCTAATCTAACTGCAACCCCATCTCCACTCATGCTGGTTCTAATAGCTAGTGATCCAACTGGTGCAAAAAGACCTTAAGCTTGCTTCATATTTTAAATCTGAACTCATAGATGAGCATGTTCATGCTGTCTTTTCTGTGGTTTCAATGTTGAAATTGACTTCTTTAATATTCAAGAGTCTTCCTAGATGCAATATTCCAGAAAGCAGATGTATTTAGTTTATTCTAGATCCCATTTCCAGATGAGTCGTCTTTCTTCTTCTTCTTCTTCTTCTTCTTCTTCTTCTTCTTCTTCTTCTTCTTCTTCTTCTTCTTCTTCTTCTTTCTTCTTTCTTCTTTCTTCTTTCTTCTTCTTCTCCTCCTCCTCCACCTTCTCCTCCTCCACCTTCTCCTCCTCTTCCTCCTCCTCCACCTTCTCCTCCTCCACCTTCTCCTCCTCCACCTTCTCCTCCTCCACCTCCTCCTCCTCCTCCTCCTCCTCTTCCTCCTCCTGCCTTTGCCTGACAGGATTGCTATGTAAAATAAGATTGTTAAAAAAAAAAATTAAGCCGGCAAAGGAGAGATGGCTCAGAGGTTAAGTGCATTAAATCTTCAAGAGGACCCAGAGTTTGGTTCCCAGCACTCATATCTGGAGACTCACAACCACCTATAACTCTGGCTCCAGTGGATCTGACACCTTTTTCTGGTCTCTGAGGGTACCTGCACACATGTGGACACACACACACACACACACACACACACACAAACACACACACACACAAACACATACATTGTCACCAAAAGACACTACTTTCTACTCTTATTACTTTCAGATTCTCAGATCCTTCCGGTAGTTTCCAAATTCACTGTGTCTTCTATGTATACAAGATAAGCACCTATTAAAGGTTTTTCTACTGAACAAAGGGAATGAAGAATCTCACCTGTGGGTCCTAGTATAAGGAAAACTTTCTAAAACATTAGACTGGGAACTAGGAAATGCAGACATGTGTATATCCTGGAGTAATGAATCAATTCCCCAAAACAATCACTATAAGATATCTATGACACAGGAGCTACTATCAGATAAAGCATATGACCTAAAAATAAGGTACATGAACCTCAAAGCATAAGAGAATGCTTTCTCCTTAGCTCCTCAATATCACCTTTATGCAGGTGTGTGTCATGCTTCTAGAAACAGCTAACAGCAATCTTCTGTTTTCCACGGCCAGAAGAGTCTACCAAAGAGAGCTCAGCTGGTATTTGGTGGGTTCCATTCCTAGCCGCCTTCCTCCTCCAAAAGGTGGAACACATTATTCAAGGAGTCACGTCATACTTCAAATCATACTGTAACTTGAATATCATGGCTAGATCCTAATCATATGCTATGCTGTTTTAGGAAACAGTATCTGCCTTTGTCTTGTGTCTAATTCTTTTTGTTTGTTTGTTTTCAAGACAGGGTCTCTCTATGTAGCCCTGGCTGTCCTGAAACTCACTATCTAGACCAGGGTGGCCTTGAACTCACAAGATATCTACTTGCCTCTGCCTCCTGAGTGCTGGGATTAAAAATGGGTGCCACCACTGCCCAACTTATGTCTAATTCTTGACCAATGATCATGTCATTAGGCTTATCAGACCATTCAAAAAAAAAAAAAGGATTTACTTCTTTTAGGTGTTTGGAACTAAAGAAATCTTTTTTTCTATAGAGATTTGATGCGATAACTTCTCTTTCCAGTCTGGCTCCTAACATCCCCTAGATTAAATACAACAATCCCATCTTCCTGGGTTTTCCTCTGTGGTCTTTCAGTTTCCTAGGTAATGGCATGGAAAGAGAGGCTACCAGACAAATTGGAAAGTTTTCATGAACTCTGTAATAGGTAACCTGCAAATAGGTCAGGGTGTAGGAGTGGGGGCTTGTTTAAGGCTTCACACTAGCCTCCTCTTTAGCCAGCATTAGGGTGATGAGGAGAGGCAGAAAAAGCCTCTGGGGCCAATCTGATGATCACAGGTAGGCAGGTTGCAGCCTCTCCCCCTTGTATCATTTCCCTGGCCAGACATGAATTTTTTGTTTTCTCTGGATAGCAAAATTGAAACTTTATTAAAACTTCAAAGTTTCCAAAACTAAGTGGAGTAATACCCTCTAAGGGACCCAAATAGCCTGTCCTTGTATGTATACTAAACACTTATCTTTCCAAGTGTCACCATTAAACTGTCACTATGAGCATCGGGCTTTAACTTTTCTCTAGCAAAACATGATGGCCCTGTGTCACCAACAAGCAGTTAACTGGTGACATCTTCCTCCTCTATACCCTTGTGGTAAAGGTGGCTTTGTCTTGTTGCTTCTTTTTCTGCTTTCTCAGCATTTTCATCTATATCTGACTCCCGGTTTTTATTATTTAGGCCAATTAAGAACTCCATTTACATTGTGGCACCCAATTTCCATGTAAAACCTGACAAAAGCTTAAAAGGGATTCTGAACACAAAAGAACAGAATCAAGCATAGCTTTTGGCAGCAGCATTTTCTCTGGTGGGCTGTTTGCTAGAGATAAGCAGAGGCACAGCTCCTTTAAGAGAGGCTAGCGTTAGCAGCAAAAACCACAGGGCTTTTTTAAGAGGCCCTGTTACCAAACACCTAAATGGTGTTCATGAGCAGCTGGTGGCATGCTTGTTGGTGGTGGCACAGACTTAGAAACTCTGAAGAGTTGTGACAATAAACATGGCTCCCACCAGTACCTCCACTATGAAGCTAGATTCCCAGGAAGCCAAGGAATGGAGTAGAGGCAGCTTCTGCTTTATGCTGTTTAGCAGATTAAAGATTCATGTGATCAGAAAAAGATAGAGATATACAGTAAAGACAGATTCAGAGTGGAAAAAAAAACCTCTAAGTGGTTTACAGTGTGTTTAAAAATAAACATAGGCTTGGGGGAGAAAAGAAAAAGGATAGAGAAAGTCCTTTAAAAAGAAATAGAATAACTGGGCATGGTGGCACACACCTTTAATCCCAGCACTCCAAAGGCAGAGGCAGATGGATCTCTGTGAGTTCTAGGCCAGCCTGGTCTACAGAGTCAGTTCCAGGGCAGCCAGAGATATATAAAGAAACCCTGTCTCAAAAAATTAAAAAATAAAAAAAGAAAGTAATAAAAAAAAGCCATGCAAAGATGGAAAATACACAGAGAGCCTGTATACTGCATGCTATTGTGCTGTCTTTGAATTGTTTGACTGCTGAGGAAGGAGCAACAGCTGCTAACAGACATTTGATTATAAATGCTGCTGGATTAACCTAACCTATATATTTTGAAAATGCCTTGACTTCAAAATTTAAGTCAAAAGGTATGTTACTTTGGAGAAGAGGTTTTGCTTTTGTTTCCATAGGAAATGAGAGGCTGTAGATTCATTCTTGGTTAAAGAAAATAAGGTTTGATTGAGGAAGATCCCCTGAAAAATCTTCTATGGGAACATATGGCCCAGATGACCCAATGATTCAAAGCACCTCTGTTGCAGTTTCTTCTGAGTTCTGCATCCAGAACAGCTTCAAGGCTGCTGGCTGAAATGATCCAGGCTCACAGAATACTTCAGTCAGGACTTGATCATAACCCCAAATTTTCTTTGGGTCCCCATAAGATTACCAGTGCCCCCAGTCAGCAGCAAATAGCCTAGAAAACTACACCCACATACCCCAAAACTGGATTATGGATGTTTGTCTTTGCTTAGCATGCTGGTTACAAGCTGTTATGGATAACAGTCAGGAAAAAAGCTAAACAAAGGAAATTAGATTCAGGGTTCTTGTTTTGAAAAGAAAAAAGGGGGAAATGATATGGGATAATGCTCTTGTACACTTCTAAGATTTGTCATTCCTATTGGTTTAATAAAACACTGATTGGACAGTAGCCAGGCAGGAAGTATAGGCAGAGCTACCAAACTAGGAGAATTCTGAGAAGAGAAAATGAAGAGGAGCAGTCACCAGCCAGATGTAGAGGAAGCAAGATGAGAATACCTTACTGAGCCACATGGTTAAACACAGCTAAGAATTATGGGTTAATTTAAGTTGTAAGGGCTAGAGAGTAATAAGTCTGAGCAATAGACCAAACAGTTTATAATTGATAGAAGCCTCTGTGAGTTTATTTGGGATTAAGTGGTTGCAGGATCGGTCAGGACAGAAACTTCCAACTACGATAGATCCTGTATAAAATATGCTAAAATCTACTTAAGTGGTACAATCAGAGATATCTACATATCACAAAGGGAAGAGATGCATAAATTAGAATACACTATGGCAGGAATGGGGATCTTCTTTAAGGTTGGCACCGTGAGAAATGAAAAAATACTCTCTTTTAGAAATCAGCCTGTCCTTTGTTTGGCAGAATGGACATTATCACAGCAGGTGATAGATGAGGTTGGCAAGTAGCACTGTATGAGGAACAACCATCAGGAAAAACAGAACAAGATGTTAGAAATTACCTGTACCCAACATTGATACCTCAGTTGCCAGAGCTGAGCAAAGGGAATGGGGATGAGGACAGAGACTAGAGGAAAGACCTAGGTAGCCAGATAGTAGGGTGGTACTTGAGGCCCTGAGGACAGTGTCCATTCATCATCAATACTAAAATATTCCAATATAGTGGGAATACAGTACGGGCATATACTTGCTAAGTGACTCTTTCATTTTATTAGGAACTTCAGGCAACACCGAGCTAAATAGTAAAAGTATGTGTTGCATGGTCATGTACTTACAACAGCTGCAAAGATGTATTTCTGGTCTTTTTCTTGTAGGAAGAGCAGCACATCAGTTAGAAGCAGAGCCAGGATATCTTCAAAGACAAAACCATGACAGTATTAATGAAGGGAACCACAGCCTAGGTGACTTTACTAGCTATTTTAATTTCATGCTTGACATTTAAATCTGTTTAACAAAAATGGAAGACTTTTCTATGAAATTTTTATTTAAAAATGCTTTCACTATGATAGTTAACATCTATCATAATTAAAATACACAGGAAGTTGTTTAAATGTACATATTTGTATGCAGCACTATAGATAAACTGTAAGATTGTAATAAGAACTAACTCTCTAGAAAATGTTTAAGAGCACAGTTTCCAAAATGAAAGAAAAAAGTCCTATATGAAAGGACTTTTATAGAAGGCTCTGAAATGGTGAAATGATGTATGCTTGCCATCCCAGTACTTACAAGGCTGAGGCTGGAGGATCATGAGTTTGAGGCCAGCCTGAGTTACATAACAAGACCTTATGTCACATGCATCTCCCCTACACCAAGAAAAAGAAGGTCCTAAGAGAATAGAATATGCCCTTGACTTTAGGGGAAATGCATCTAATTAAAAAAAAATGTAAGGGAACAGCTTCCACATCAAGTGATGGAGGGAAACCTGCTCCTGAGGCTGAGTAGAGATTATTTCTCTTCTTCCCTTGGAAATCTTTCAAGAATCCCCCTTCCTGTAACCACTACATTGTCTAGTCAAAACAGATGATTCTATTCAGGGAGAAAAAGGAAACAGCATCAAGTAGATTGTAATTAGTAGTTTTCCAATACAGCATTTCAAGCAGTTCATCCACAAATACCTTGCTTTGAATTTCCATCAAAGCCTGCACACCCTCTGGTGGTGCACACACACACCTTCAAGTGACTATAATAGGATAAATCCTTATTCTTCCTCTTACCCAAGGATGTAATTAAGATGAAGGAGGTGCAAGGTCCTAAGAGGCTGTAGAAGAAGCTCAGCAGGCAAGCCTTTAAGCTTGGCTTCAGGTCCTGACCAATAAAAACAGAATCCTTGCAAGGAGACTGAGGGCCAGTCAGTTTTTCAGGCCCCAGAGATATAAGAAAGCACAGGACAGCAAGGTGCTAACTACAAGGTAATCCTTGGGAACCTCAATAAATAGCCCTGGACCCTAAGTAGACTAACATAGTCAAGTTTAATTCTGTTAGCAAACGGAACCACTGAGAAAGAGCTTACCCTGGGGCCAGTATACAAGTAGATGTGTCCTATTACTGAATAATATTTAGTTTTCTCATGTCTCCCCTCCATGGTCTGAAAGCCCCAGGCTGTCTTGGCACTCAGCAGACCCTCACTGTGTAGGTGTAGTCTGTTCTTGCTTTCAACACACTACATTTAGCAGAATATTTCTACCCCAACAATGTCCAGAACTCTCAACTCCTTTGATTTCACACATCACAGGCTTTCATATTCATGAAAGTACACGTGAAGGATTTTCTCAGGACAGAGAGCTCCAGTCAAGCATGTGTATCACCCAGTCACATTTACCCACTGAACTTCACAACTTGATGTTTCCACTTAGAAGAGTCAAGGGTTCTGTAGGTGTATCTGTAAGTCAGAACCATTTTTCTAGTCTGTCCTCTATTGAATGAGTAATATGAACAAAAGGAGGAGAGATTGGATGGGTGGAGCCACAGTACCTTTGAAACGGCCTGTAGCGGTTTTCCAGTAAACAAGCCCATCATGCAAGAGAGCCCTTTCTTTACTCATCAGAGCCTGCTTTCTAAACACATGGCCATTTTTGAGCTTTGTGTATGTTTTGTTTTCAATTTTATTTAGGATCTCCAGCCATTTTTGGTTCTTCTCATATTCATTGACTTTTAGATCCACAGCTGCGATCATGTCTTTAATTAAGCCAAGAGCTTTGCATAGGTCTTTGTGTTCTTCAGTCCTTTCTGCATGAAGGAACAAAGAAAGAAAATTACAATAACCCAGAATACTGAGAGGTATTTTTTTTAAGTTTTTTAATATAACAAAGACCCCCATAAGAAAGATGTTGGATTGAATTCAAATATTAAAATATCTCAAAGAAGCAATACTATATTTGCTATAAAACATTTGCATTAGTAGATGTGCATTAGCTGACAAGAAGCTGTCTGGCTTCCAGGGTTAAGTCTGCCTCTCTGTAGCTGTGCCATAGTTTACCTTCATTGTCTATGTGACTGGATTTAGAATTACCTAGGAAGATGTTGCTGGGCATTTCTGTGAGAGTTCCTAGAGAGGCATCACTTAGGAGAGTCCCACCTTCAAAGCGGGCTGCATCACTGCACGGCCAGGGAACCCAGACTGAACAAAAAGGGTGAAGCAAATAGAGTACCAACATTTAACTTTCTCAATCTTCTGTCTGCAGATGCAATGTGATTAGCTCCCTCACACTCCTACTGCCATGCCTTCGTCGTCATGAAAGACTGTATCCCCTCAAACTCTGAGACAAAATAACCCTTCCTTCCTTCCTGAAGGCGTTTCTCATCAGATATTAGGTCACAGCAGCAAAATGGATCAAATGTGATATAAGCCAGGACTATGGATTGACCTGGGTACTCCTTCCTTCCTAGAAACAGAAAAACAAGTAAACCCCACACTGTGGTTCTAAGGACTGAACCTGTGGGGCCAAGCTCAAGTCCTCTGAAATTGAGCCACAGGACAATTTAAATGTCTCCAGACTCATTTGCCTTCTGGGTTACATTAGCATAAAATTGAGGATTTTCATATTCTAATTAAAGTGGTTTGGGACCATTATTTTCTTATTATTATAAAAGAAATGAACATATTTGGAGAGTCTTGGGCACTGTGCCTCCAGGAAGCCAGCCAGGCTTATGCACACAGAACAGTGGGCCATCAGTTCCAGTTGCTCTTTAAACCACTGGCCACACCTCTCACCTCCAGACTGCCTTAAGGAAGGCTTCAGGAGGAGCTCCTGGAATGGCTTCAGGAAACTGGAGATGAAAGGGAATTGAGGTCTTTTCTGTATTTGATGATAAAGATCAGTTAGTTGATATTTGCTCAGGTGCCTGGACCTGAAGAGCTAAAAGGAGGGGAGAAAGAGGAGACAGGGAAAAAAGAAAACTGGCAGAGAATCCAAAGGCTCTCCAGAGCCTACAGCTGCAGGGACACATGTTTAGAAAGAGCAGCCAGGAAGATTGGAGCAGTCCTCTAAATGTCTACACATCCCAGGTTCTCAGTGCAAACACAGATGCATGCACACACTGTTAGAACACCCACAGATGACATCCAATGTCAATCTCTTCAAGGAGGAGTCTTTCTCACTACCTTCCAAGAACACACCTCGTGCCTCCTCTCTCCCCATAGGGTTCTTCCCATCCAGAAAGGAGATTTACTTCTAAAGAAACTATTTCCAAACTAGGAAAGCCATGGAAAGAAAAGTGAGGTTGAATTACCAGATGACCCGACCCTGAGTAATTCCAGGAGAAGGTGCACAGACTGACAAACCACTGTCCCCTAATGCCTTGCAACTCAAAAAGGAACAACACCGGCCTCCCTAAGAGCCTTTACAAATGCTCCCCTTCAACCCCACTCACACCTACTGACTCTCAATTTGCATGTAAACATACCCCCTTGTGAAGGGACAGCTAGTGAAGTTGAGGAGCATAACCATAACAGTCACAAAAAAAAAAAACAAAAAACAAAAAACAATGGCCAGAGGCTCCAGGAGTGACATTTGGCAACACCGGCCAGGAGGAGAAGGCATCTGTGTGCCACCATGCTGATTCTGCCTAGAGTCAGAGCTCAGAGGTACAGCTTGCACGGTAAGTGGGAGAGACCACTGGTGTTATCTGGTCTACCTACTGAGAGAACGTGGCATGGGATGAACCCGGAGTAAGGTGAGCTGACTAGTACCATCAGACTCAGTTTTGTCCCTGGGGTATTGTAGAAAATTAAGAGAATTCACACAATGCAAACTCAAAAGCCTTAATTTTGTTTTCCTTCTTTTGCTGAAAACAAAATCTATGATGCTTTCTCCATAGACTATCTTTACATTCTTTTGTGCATCAAACTATAAAGAACCATGAAAGTGGTAGAAGTAAAGACCCAACTTTTGCATGTTCTCCTCTGACCATCACACCATGGTGTATGCCACCCCCCCAACACACACAAAATAAATGCAAGTAAAACAAACCCAATTTCTCAAACTGAATTCCAATTCAAAGGCTTTAAAAGCTCCTCACAATAAAAGCATTGTGAAGGCCACAGCATTCAAGGCTCCTTAGAACCCCTCAGTCGTGATGAAAACCAACAAGAGAGACAAAAGTTGTTCCAGAAGTCATCTCTCACCCTTTGTGTACTGCAGGATTCTCTCCACCAAGACAGGGTATTTTGTGATGCGTTGAGTGACAAGCAAGATGCACTCTGGAATTCCTCTGCGTCGAGCCAAAAGGTTGCTATTTCGGATCTTGAAAAGTATATACATTTTTATATACACCAATTATTTTACTGAGAATTTAGTAATTCAATATATACAACTATATGATTTGTCCATATTTGATTGTCATCATTAATTAAAATGTATACATTGTCATTGCATTTTGTACTTATGTCATTAACCACCATACTCCAAAGTATGGATAAGTTTAGACTTATACCGATGCACTTTTAATGCCCAAATGAGCAAACTCTCAGCGTTCAGCACTAGCAAAGGTTTTTGAACAATAATGGAAATCCAAGTGTGTTCGTGTTCACTATTCGTTTTTCTAACATGTCTTCCTCCATCTTTGATATTACACACTGTGGCAAAGCAATCCTTCTTACACAGAAATCCTTTCCCTAGATGTTTCAAGATATTCTTTAAGTCTTTAAGTCCCACTGCACATGTATGTGAAAAGAAAATCAGAGGAGAATCTGGTAGAACTCATAAAAAGACATATTAAAAAAAAACATAGAACGCAGAAGCTAGGGCAAGTTTCTTCTATAAGTAAATGTGAAAAGTAAGGAAAGAAGGAAGGAAGAGAATTGAAGGTAAAGAAGGTTTAAGAGCCATCACCACAAGCCAGGCGGTGGTGACATACACCTTTAATCCTAGGAGGCCAAGGCAGGCAGATGTTTGTGAGTTTGAGGTCAGCTGGTCTACAGAGCTAGTTCCAGGACAGCCAAGGCTGTCAAAGGACAGCAAAAGAAAAGAAAAGAGAAGAGAAGAGAAGAGAAGAGAAGAGAAGAGAAGAGAAGAGAAGAGAAGAGAAGAAAAGAGGGAGAGATAACTGCCATATGCAACAATGAAACTTGACCAGGTCCTGGCTTAATGATTCAGTTTCAAGAGATAAACAGTGAAAATTGAAGATATCAGAAAATGACTGACAATTTATTTAAGTGTGCTAATGTTATCAAGATACTTTAAAAATGTTCAGAAAGATGTAGATGAAATTATATGATGTCATGGATTTGGTTATGAAGTAAATCCATGGGATAAATGGATTCTCAATTTGCTTTTGCTTTGATTTTTCTTATACACAACTTGTCCAGATATGAACCACTTCCCAGAACACAGCCAAATATTCTCAGAGGCTTGGGGAATATGATATTACAAATACAAGATAGCAAATGAAATGGTTTGGGAGAAATATTTTACCACCATCTAGACTTTCCATCTTTGCCACAAACCTATCACTTCCTTCTCCTTCCCCTGAGGAATAGAACTGAGCTATGAAACATGTTTAGATCATTAAGACACAAACATGAACTATTACCCCACAGTGGCCTCCCACACTATGATTAAGCTGAACAACACTTGCCTTAATAAAATTCTGAAACTTTTTGTTCTGCTGGAGCTCTTTAAAGAGGCTCATGGCTTCTTTGTGATGGCTGCAGAATTCTCCATAGATCTTCTTCATTTTACTTGCATTTTCTTCTGAAAACTGAGCACATTACCATAATGGTTTGTAAATGCACCCATTACGTGCATGGAGAAAAGAACATGCAGTTTTTGTGTATTTCAAAACATCATGGATTTCCCAAATACAATTGCTCCCCTTCCCCCAGGCATTTCTTAAATTAAAATAAAAGGAAACGATAGACTAAGGGCCAACATAACAGGATCACGTTGTACTGAAATAATCATTAAACAGCCAAATGAAAAACATCCAATGCTTTAATGTTTGCTCCATTTTTATGCAACTTAATTATTAAAACTGGTAGTAGCACTACTTTTTACATTGAATGCCTGACATCACAAGCGGCTCACAGGCAGGTGATCGTTAGCCATGATGAGAAGACAAGAGAGAATAACCAAACTGCTAATGTATAAACTGAGGGGAGAAGGAAAGGTGTGGACCAAATGCTTCCACTAGCTTGACCTGCAGGGAGATCTTCATAAAAGTCAGAGACATGGGGCAGTGTTGGGAGGGTTGGCTGCATTTAGCTGTGGTTTTTTTTTAAAGACCATGATAGCTCTACAAGATTGTGTCCATAAGGAAGGTCATTGCAACAGAAAGCCTCCCTAGAAGAGTAACTGAAACACATTCCATCACCTTGAGCTTTTCTCTTTTGCTCAATTTTTTCTGTGTTGATGATAATTTGTCTGAAGAGATGATCCTTAAACCACAATGGTTAAAATAAAGTCTAGCAAAACACTTGTATGTTGGAAACTACACAATATTGATACTTCAAAAATCTGAATGACTAGGGGCTAGAGACAGCTAGCAGTTTAGAGCACTTGCTGCTTTTGTAGAAGATGGAGGTTTGCTTCCCAGCACACACATGGACACTCACAACTTTCTGTAACTCCTGTTCCAGGAGATCGGATGTCCTCCTCTTCGGACTTCTACTGTCACCATGTGTGAAAATAGTTCACAGATGTACATGCAGGCAAAACATCCGCACGCGCATCACTTTTTAAAAGTTTTGTAATCTAAATAAATAGAGAGCTTTACCAAGTTCATAGATTGGAAGAATCAAAATAATGAAGGTGTCGATTCTTCCCAGATAGTTAATACAGATTTAGCCCAAATCTTATCAAAATCACAGCTAGCTTTTTATAAATATGCACAAGATTATTTTTCAGTATCCAGGAAATGCAAAGAAAAGACATCTAAAAAATTCTCAATACAGTAGGAAGACTCCAATGCTCAATTTTCCAGATTATTGCACAGCTCCCATTTTCAAGCAGGATGGAAAGATGCAGACACACACACTCAGTGGGACAGAAGAGAAACCCAGCATGCACAAGAGTCTTTTGGCAAAGGTTCAAAACCCAGCTCCAATGGGGAAGAATGCTTTTTCAATAATTCTATAAAAATAGGAAAGGAGAGAAATAAAAGAAAAAAACACCCAACCTTACAAAACTCATAGGAAACTAGCTAGAAAATCTAGAAATTGCATTTTTAGGGATTTATTTCAACAAAATCAAAACTTTGATGTGTAAAAAGAAATCTGTACGTAAACATGGCAACTTTATCTGTAATGGGTGTAAGCCAAAAGTAACAAGATGCCCTCCTACACGTAAGCAATTGAACAAAGCACGGTATATCCGCACCATGGAATACTACTCACCAGGGGAAAAGAATGAACAACTGACATACATAACCACTGACATGACTGAAAGAATTGTGCCAATTCCCTAAAGACTGCACACTACACAATTCCATTTGTACAATGTTTTTGAAAATGACAAAAATGACAGGAATAAAGAGTTTCTAGGACTTAGAGAGGATGTGCGAGCAAGAGGGAAGTAGGTGTATATAAACATGAGTGGGGAAATGTTGTGGAGGAACATTGTCCTAACAGTATGGGCGTCAGGTCCTGATCGTGGTGTGATGGCTTTGGAAGATGTTTTGGAGGAGTGATCATGCAAACAGTCAAATTTTACATAGCAAATCTCAGACAGAGCTTAGCCTGTTCCTATGGAAACCACCAAGAGACAGACTGCCAAGCCTCGTTTTTTAACAACTTCTCGGTAATCCTCAGGTCCCTGAAGTTAAAACAACAACAAAACCGGACTGGGTTGGGTCATATCCACAGTTTTCACCCATACAGGTGCTCCTGCTAACTATGTACCATCACACTCCACTCCGCCTTCTGAAGCGCGTGTCTAGTTATACTCCAGAGTGTACCCAGTCTTCCTTCCTACACCCTGAACACCAGCTCCTCCTTTGTCCCCATGAGGCCCCCTCTGAAGACAGTGCTAGCCGAGTGTGCAAGGACTCTGGCATACAACGCGCTTGCCAACAAGGAACAGGAACACAGGCCCAGCCTCCTGTCCCATTCCTTTTCCCAAAAGAGAAATCTGTGTTCTCCCATTAGATTAGGCCACTAGGTCCACATCAGGGGATGACAATGACCCAATTTTGGCCCCTGCTTTATCCACACAAATTAAATAAACACAGAACTGATAAAGACACACATTGATACTAAATATGAAAAAAATCAAAGAACAAAACTGGTTCCAATGATTAGAGTTAAAGAAGAATGAAATCATGATTATTTATATTAATGAAAGAGAAATTCAGACAATTTAAGATGACATTCCATTTCTGTTATGAATGCTCTCTGTGCTCCGACATTTTTATTTAAGCCAAGTCACAAAGTCCTTTATGTCACCCTGAATCAGGTGAATCACAGAAGGTCTCAGGCTGTAAGCTGCAAGGCAGATTCCTCTTAGGTTAAATGGAAAGTTTTTACAAACACAGGTTTTCACATTGTTAAAAATGTAAGAGTAGCTACTAGGGGACAAGTCCTTGCATGTATGTGTGCATCTAGAATACTGTATTCAATCACATCTAAACCGACAGGGAATCCAATTCCTCCGTCTTTCACATACAGACCAACAGCTTATCTCCATGGCTACCTAGGATAGAGTGAGAGCATTTAAAATACTGAAATCCTTAAAAAATGTGGAACTACCCAGAAAAAAAGCCATACTAAAGCAACAGAGGAGATCTCCAGACACTTCCCCAAGTGCCATAGGCATTCCTCCAACCCAAAGCCTGGCAGCCCACTCAATTCCAGGTCTGACTGTCTTTCTTCTTTCCTTCTTTTTTAAGTGAGTCAATCATTCAATAAATACTCCAAGGATCCCCTATAGATGTTAGACTATGGTAATAAACAAATGAAAACACCCACACCCAGGGTTCACAATCTCATGACAGTAAAGGCTTTCCTGTAGTTTGCTAAAATTCTTGGCTCATCTTGATGATAGAGCAGATTTTGACCTCTGTCCCAAGTACATCACCTGCGAAATGTGTGAACACTAGAAAAAGTCATTACCCCTCGTGTTTACATCTACACAGTGGGAAAATAGCACCCACCTCACAATGCTATGAAAGTTAAATGACGCAAGTTTCTTCCATATCAAAATGTTACCTCACTCTGAGGTAACACATTACAAGAAACCCTTAAGAAAGCAATGCCATTGTCGAATGCAAGTGGCTGTTGTTTATTAGCACAACCTATTCTCAGTGATGCTCCCCAAATTCCAAATATCTGAAGGGATATTTATTATCTTGTCTTCTAGGCTAACTATAAAGGATTTATATCCCTCCTCCTAGGGTGAGCGTCTAACTTGAAGCCAGGCCTCATAATATCACAGTGGAAGACCTATGCTCTAAGAAGCCCCTCTCACATCAAAAAGTCTATGCAATTCAGTTATGACTACGCTATCTGGTGAAGACAACAGAATAATCCAAGCCATGCAGAGGAGGTAGTCATTGGCTGTCAGGGACTATCTGGCATCTGTTACACAGCCAGGATCAACCAACACCCAATAAAAAAGGCCCACGGCCCCAATCAATTTAATTTCTCCAAGGGTTTTTAATCAATAAAGTGTCTACAAACCAAAGCTGGACAGAAGGCCTGGTAGATAAGAGCACTTGTTGCTCCTGCCAGGGATCTGAATTCCTTTCCCATCACCCACATGGTAGCTCACAACCATGTGTAACTCCAATGTCACAGAATTCATACTGTCTTTCTGACTTCTGTGAACAGCTGGCATTCATAAGTGCACAGACATACATGCAGACAAAATACCCATACATATAAAATAAGCAAACCTATCGAGGGAGGGCAGTTCTGCAAGCGCTTAGAGTTCTGAGACCAGCTTTGACACCCTTCTTACCTGCTGTACCAGAATATCACCAATTCGGTCGATCACAAAGTTCCTGTCGTTACCCGTGCATGATTCCTGCCTTCGTTCCTTCATGCTGAAGAAGAAATGCCTATGAGTTTCCAGCAACTCATCTAAGCAGGGGAAGATCTTGTCCACTGTGCTGTGGTCCAGCTGCAGCTCCTCCTTCATGCCCTTCCTGAAGACCTCAGACATGATGAGCAGTGTCTGAATGTGGTGCACCTCCGTCTGCATCAGTTCTGAAATGTGAGCATACACATGATCCAGATGAGCTCTGTAACATGCTTGTCGGGCGGGTGTGCAGACTTTCCTACATTACTATGAGCGCTCAGGAACAGGTACTTGAAGGAAAAGAATTCAGAGTTACAGCTCTTTTGCCTCTACCCTACCAATTCACCTTTCACAGACCGGACAGATGGGAATACTAATTGTAGTGGGTATCCAGTCATCTTTGATTCATTTAATAACCCTTTATTCATCCTCCTGACTACTGCTAGCAACTTCCTCCATATACAAATTCAGCGCTTGGTCATACTACAGTGAGTTACAGAAATGTATATAATACCAGTTAAAATAGATAACTTCAGTAAAATTTTACCTGTCACAAACAAGCATACAGACAAAAAAGCCCCACATGTGTCTGTTGCAACTCAATTTTATATTACACTAATAAGAATGAGGGAATGTTCAAAGACTAATAGAACCATTTTTCCCAAGATAAAAGTCAGTGGTGATTGAACATTTTATTTACACTCCAAATATCAATTGTCCAGATATTAGAAGAGGATCTGCGGATGAAAATCAAGTACAGCAGCTAAGAGTCAAAGGTTTCCAACAGCTTCGACTCCCGTGCCAATGTTCCATAAAATAGAACAGCTTGTTAGAGAGAAGTCTTTCTTTCTTCACTTTTTGTATTGAGTATATGCATAATTAAACAGGTTAAATGAAGTAACCTGATGAAATAAACTAAATGTAATAAACTTCCCCAAGGCTTTACAATAGTAGATTCTTTCAGTCACTAGATCATTTTTCCAAAATTCCATTTTCTCCAGAGGAAAATAATAGTATTATATATGTATAAAATACTGAATTCAGATTATATATCACATATAAATATATATATATAATATCATGTATCATGTGCGTGTATGAAAAAGTCTTATAACTAAATGTTTTCAATAATTCAAAAATGGGTAAAGGAATTTCATAGATATTACTCCAAAAACATAAACAAATGGCCACTAAGTACCCAAAAAGACATTTGGTAACAGGGTTTGGAATACAATGTAGTGGAAGAAGGCTGTCTCTAAGGCAGAAACCTTTGTGAGAGATTATTTCCCCTTCCCCACCCCCACCCCACCTTCATCAACCTGCAACCACCTTCAATATCCTTAGTGCAGAAGTGCAAATCAAAACCAAAATAACAGCACATTACACACACAGGGCTAATTATAAGACGGAAAGATGGACAAGAAACAAATGTTGGTGAAGGTGAAGGTGAGGAGTGACCAGAACCCACCCACACTGACAAGGATAGGATGCTGCAGCTGCCTTAGTAGACAGCCTGCAATCACCAAAAGGTTTGAAACGAAGGTACCATATGACCTTCAAAGAAAAAGAAAAGAAACACAAAATGTACACTCGCTACTGATCAGATACACAAATGGGACCTAGCTGGCTTTAAACGGGAATGAAGTACATATGATGATCCTTGCAAATATCATATAAAGTAGGAGGACACACACACACAGAGAGAGAGAGAGAGAGAGAGAGAGAGAGAGAGAGGGAGGGGGAGGGGGAGGACGAAAGAGAAGAGAGAGAGAGAGAGAGAGAGAGAGAGAGTGAGGCAAAGGAGAGTAGATTAGCGTTTGCCCATATACAGAGGAAAAAAGAGAAATGGGAAGTGACTTCTAATGAGTAGAAAGTTTCTTTTTGAAGTGATGCAAATAATATAGAATTGGAATGCTTGATGACTACACAACTTTTGGGGAATACACTAAAAACCACCTGATTACATATGGGGCATAATTTTATGATATATGGATTATATCTCAACTTTTCAAATCCACTATGAGAAAAAAGTAACTCCCAACACGCAGGAATATGAGACAACAAATTCTGCACAAGCCTCCAAACTACCCCCATGTTTGGGGACAGAATCTAAAGCATCAGCCATGGAGAGGAAATAGGTCTAAATACAGCATTTCTACCTTGTTGTAAGCAGAAATCTCTTTTATTTGGGACCCATAACTTCAAAGAATTCATATTTCCTTCCACATTGTTAGCCTCGCTTTCACTTACCCCTATCATTTCATTTAATCTTTTAGCTAATTCATTCATTATGACTGAATCGAATAGGAATAATAACCCTCCTTTTGTGTTTGTTAGGGTACCCCTTCCTCCTCTGTGTGTGGGGTAGTGATGGAAAGGTGACACAGAGCATAAAATCCAGGGCATGCTAGGAAAGCACTCTGCCACTCAGCTATTCTCTGCCACCCAGCTACTCTCTGCACCCAGCTACTCTCTGGCCCTTGTTTTATTCTCATAGGTTTTGGGTTTGGGACAGCATCTTGCTAGGTACCGGCTAGTCTCAGATGCTCAATCCTGCCCGGTGCTGGGGTTCCTGGCAGGAACCACCATGCCAGCTTTCATCATCTTTAAAGGAAAGCAATGAGGAACAGAGGGGAAAGGTTTTCCCTGAGGGTCAAACCTTTCTGACACCAAAGACAACATAACCTGTGATAATGCACCTGTAAGGTGAGATTGTGCTTAATAGTGTGTGAGGGTGACCCGAGGTTGAAGAGACATGGCAGCATATTAATGCTTAACAAACATTAAAAAGGATAGCATCATCCTGTTAGCTTCCCAAGGCCTCTGGAAAGTTCTGAAGCATACTTCTCGTTCCCTTGATCTTGGTGAAACCGTTCCCCCAACCTCCATCCCCATCTCCACTGAAGATGAACTGGGCACCTCCTAGCAGAGGACAGGAAAACTCGGGTCAAGGAGAATGAAGACCCTGCCTCAGGTACAATGTGGAGTGCCTTGTTGAAACTATTTTTTAGTACATTCTTTGCACCTTGGATTTTCCTAATTATCTGTTTCTACTTCAGATTGCCTTCACTCCCAGAAGTGCACCATGGGGAAATCTCACTGCAGGTGAACTAAATACTAAGGACTATGGCACACAAATGCTGTTCTAACCCACCTCAGGCTCCTCACAGTTTATACAGGCACTGACAGTCAACTGCAGGCCATACGCTGAGTCATGACATCTGCAGCAAGAATGTGAAAGTTAACTGTGGCTTTTGCATGAAGAAGTAGGAAAGTATTCAGAGGCCACACTCAAGGGGATGTACTAAGGGTACATGAAATCAAATTTCCTTGATATTGGTACATGCTAGCTTGCATTTACACCTTGGAACAATATTTTCTGTCTGAATATCATTATCTATGTTCTACAGATGGAGAAACTGAGTTTCGGGTGAGCTGCATAGTTTGTTTGAGATCAGAGAGCAAAACCAGGCTTGGACCCAGGTCTGGACAGTATCACCATCCACACTCTTTCCTCTAAACCCTGTGATTTCACCCCAGCGATATAATTGAAATGCTTACCAAAAATGACATCCTGTCTTTTGATGACATCCTTCTCCTGCCTACTGCAAAAGGAAGGGTCCACCACGAGACTCCAAGACTCTGCTTCAAACTCCTGGGCATCACTACTGAGGTCGCTCCACAGGGAAGAGTCCACAACATCTAGAAAAGAAAAGCCAGAAGCATGACACCCAATTCACCAATCCAAAGAAATCTTCAAGGTTCAGACTCTCAGGCTCAAACCTTCTAGAGGCACAGAGAAGCCCCAACGAGAATGGTACAGTGCAGACGCAAAACACCTGAAAACCAGAGACAGCCCAAAGCAACACAACTGCCACTGGAGCAAAGAACAGTAACAGTACAAGGAGGCATGAAAAACTCGGAGATGCCTTGGTTTGTTCGGGCGCACTCTATCGGAATTGGACCTGGTAACCTTCACAGCCCATGTCCTGCTTACAGACTCTTGGCCTCGATGATCTCTTTTTGCCTGGGTTATTTCATACAGTTTACTCAAATCTGAATTTGAAATTGCCCAGTTGGTTTACCCTCTACTTGACAAAACATGAAACACAGTGTGAGGCTTAAGTTCCACAAGTAAAATCTTTTCTAATAGAGCTAAACATACATACACAAACTCCTTTCAGGAAAAGAACTACACACACACACACACACACACACACACACACACACACACCATGGGGGGGGAGAGACTGAACAAACACCCTTCAGAAAAACTAAAGCCTATTTGCCCTAAACAATACTCCTTAGAGATCCCAAATGGTTGTAAAGATGGGATGACAACAGACTTCAAAGACACACAATCCACTTCTCTACTCAGTTCTCTCCTTCCATTTGACTTGCCTTCATCTATCAAGGCAACCTGGAAACAAAACACCCCACAGGTTGAATTCCATCCTATAAAATATACTAAAAAATCCCTTTATTTCCCACAAATATCAGATAACAGGTGGGACACATATCTCAGTGGCTCATTCAGAAGTACTCAATTACATATGTAATTAAATGTAGGATTCTACTTCATTCTCTCCATGATAACTACACAGTGCATTTCATTCTTTCAATTACATCCATCTCCAAGGAATGTGTCCACTTAAAAACTGCTTCTTAACTCCTCAGTAACTCCTGTGTACCTCAGTTGTCATTTAAAAAAAAAAACCAAACTTTTATTCAATTTGTTCTTTGACATTTCACACATTAAAGTAAATCCTCTCTCCCCTCCATCCCACCACACTTTCCTACACTCAGGGTTTTTTGAGACCCTTAAGAAAAGTAGATTCTACTTCAAGTAGACAACATAAGACTTCTAAAAGAACGGCAGAGAGCTGAGGGGTTAGATCAGCAGATAAAATGTTTGGTGTACAAATGTAAGGACCTGAGTTCAGATCTCTCAGAACCCATGCAAAAGCTAGACAGGCAGGCATTGTGGCCTTCTGCAATCCCAGGACTTAGAAGGCAGCCAGGTGACCTGTCCCCACCCCATAAGCTGGCTGGCTGTCCTAACCAGAAGTGGTGGGCTCCAGGTTTGAGAAATCCTACCTTGATAAATAGTGATTGAAAAAGACAACTACCATCAGGGTTAGGCCTCCACATACATGTTCTCTTATCCATACATGTGCGCACACACACACACACACACACACACACACACACACACACACACACACACGCATATAAACATATGTGAACATGCATATATGAACACACATATATGAACATGCATATAAACATATGTGCATACTAACACACATGAATATGAGAAAAAGAACAAAATGATATACTTCCATCTTATTTCTTGCATAAAATATCCCTTTCAGTAAATGCTCACAGAGACAGGAGCATTCTAGCACATCTTCTCACCTTCCATCATGAATGACTCCGTGGAGGGAGAAGAGCCCATGGACTGATACAGCTCATCGGAATGAGATCTGCTTCGCCAGTTGTTGCTGTCACCCTCTGACTCCAAGGATGCCACTGACCTCCTGAAGCTGGGGGAGGAGGGGACATGAGTTAGCCCTAGAAACCACCCTGGGCCACAAAAATGAAGCAGAGCATGGAGCCTCACCTTTCCAAGGTGGTCCCTGGAACGCTTCTGGACAGCGGATGCACCAGCCCTGTAGCTTCCTTCCTTCCAGCCGGTAGTCCGATGGGCATGGAGGAGGAAGGGTGCAAGGAGAGTCCTGGCTGTGGGATGTCTCTAACTGAGGAGCCTGGAATCACAGCAGATACTGCATTGCGAGGGCAGCATTTACCAGCAAAGAAAGTCACAGACAGTCCACACAGGTACACCCTCGAGCAGTCACTTCTAAAGCGTTGTGGCCCAGCCTAGAAACTGGTCTCTGATACTTCCTGGCACTTTTCAAGTGTCCCTTCCTTTCCTCACCCTTCCAACACCCATGCTGCAGGACAACTTCCACACCTCCCCTGGGAGACTGTGGATGTCTGGAGTGACCCAAAGACAAATGGAATGGGGAAGCACTGGCCAGCTTTCCCATAAACCACTGCTTGTACTCCTCAAAGCCAGCTTTAAATAGATGCAAGGTGTTATTAGCTCTGTTGGAAAAATGCATACGGTGTGTGTAAACACACATATGCACCCAGAGAGCAGCTCAATGAAAAGGAATGATGCTGGAGAAACCTCTCTTTATGGAGCAAGATTCGGGCAAAGGAAGCCCAAAGCCCAGTAAGGCTGTTTTCTCTTATATTGAAAACAAGTGGGCATGGACACACTTACATTTGGGTTGAACTATAAACAACTCTGAGTGGGTATTTCAGCCCCTTTGAATTGCAGCTATTGAATCCACACTCTGCAGCAAAAGGGAGAAATGTTTACATAGATCCCAGGATGGAACAAGGGAATGTATACATCTCTGCTTTAGTCTCATGAACTCCATATAAAGGAGTAGACGACATTTAAATTTCTAAATTCTAAGTATCTTTTTAGTCACCCATTTAGCCTCATGAAAATGAGTAGCATCTCAGAATTGATGTCAAGAGATTTTTGAGGTCAAAGCAAGGGATGGAGTGACAAGAGATCTCAAACTAACTGGCATAACACCACACCCAAAAGCATGTCACCATGACTTAGCACACTTAATTGTCCCCACCAGAGTGGTTTTGAACATGCCAGTCACACTTTGTTAAAGCACTGAAGTGATAAGTGACCAGACACTTAAAATTCCTGCCACTTATTATGCAAAGCAACTTCAGACAGAAGAAATTACAAAATCTTTCACGATAAAGCAAATGTTTTTCTAACTGAGGAAACACCAGTGTGACTGGCTCCTCGCTTGTAACACAGGGAAGTGTCAAGGGTTACTGGTTGTTTTCAAGAGAAACTATTTAAACTTCAGTAGTGTATAATTAAAACAACAACAAGAGAGTCATCAAATTTAGAAATACACAAATAAAACTTCAGCATGCTTTATAATTTCAGCATCACACTAAAGGTACTAAAAAGACCACAGCTTCAAATGCAACTAATCCAAGCTTGAGGATCTCCACAACACTAGACCATAGGGACCAGTGAGAATGGAAAGATTCCAAAGCCAAAGGCTTCTTTTCCACTAAACTTTTGTGATTTAAGGAGATTCTAGCATGTATTTCTACAAAGGAGTATATGCTACTATAACAAAAACATAAAATCATGTATATTCAATGCAGTGTCTCTGTTTACTCCCCAAATCATTAAATCAATAGGCTATATTCCAATAAGCAACATTAGAATTGAGACCATTGGGTAACACTATTTCCATATAGTCCCTGTGATACACAAGTCACATTCTATATAATATACAGAAACTCATAGGCTGACCTAGAAGTTTATATCCTTCTTGACTTCCTTACATAGCAAAATTTATGCTATGCACATGTTATAAAGAAGAAATAATTGGACTAATGAGAAAACAAAAGCAGGAGGTAGTTTTATAATGGAAAAGTATGGTATACATTACATTTTTTAAAGTTGTCATTTTCCCATATCACTTACTTCCAAGGATGGTTTGTGGCTTGTTCTTGTTGTATTTCTCTTGGAATTTCTAGTAAAAAAATATTAGAAACACATAAAATAAGATCAAAGCACCACTGGGCTACAAGAATGTACACACATGGCTGCAAAGAATAGGATTCTTATCTACTTTATTTTCATTATCTTATTTATTTCAAAGAAGAATTCAAAGCAAATAAAACAGTAAATGCAACAAGAGTAGAGTGTGGTGACAATGAAATGTGCAGGGAAGAACGAGCCTCACGAATGCTCAGTGCTTGGAATCCTCAAGACAACCCACATCCACAGCTCATGCAGCAAGACCCCGGAGAAGGAGGCCCTTCTACCAACACTTTCTTGTTTCTCTTGTGTCTTTTTACCTTTCCATAGTCTTCTTGCCAGGGTTGACCACCCAAAGCTCTGCAGCATCACCTTCTACATCAACCCTCAAGTATACGGGTTAACACAGAAATCTGTGACAACCACCCCTCCACCCTGTCCACACTACAGGATCGTCCTGCTCAAACTCAAACCCATCTCACACATGACTGTGGAGTGCCATAAAGGACTGGAATTGCAACTGTCATCAACTTTGTAACCCTGTCCCAAATGTGCATCCTCACTCCGTACCTCCAGGTATGCTCTCAGACATGGTGGTGCTCCCTGGGAACGTGCTAGAAACACACAGCCCCAGGACCCATTCATATTTACAGAATCTGAAAACCCAGGAGGGGACCTAGAAGTTGAAGTTTTTATAGTTTTCTGGGGCAATTCTGGTGATGGCTGTTTGAGAATATTGTCTGCCTCACATAACACAAGCAGAACCTCTCTCTATTGGTAGATGTGAGCAGATAAATAGTCACACACTGTTAGTGTGTTGCCACAGCAATAGTAAATCCAACATCTCTAAGAGTTCTGTGTCCAGGAGCAGACAAACCAAGCAAGCAGGCAAGCTAGGCAACAGAGCACACTTATGCTGCAGTGACTGAGATGTTACCTTGGTACATGGAGGCACAGCATCTTTGCAGCCCTTGTGTATGTTTGCTTTACAGTCTGAAACAGAAGACACAAACATTTCTATTTGACTTAGTGAATCTGAAGTCAAGTTCATACCACTCTTTTATTGGAAGTTATAAAAATGACACAAAGAAGTACACATATTTGAGAACTCAAATATTTAAATGATGCATAGCTCCACACAAGCATAAGCACACATGGGAACTCTGAGTTCCTGGGAGATATTTTCATTGTCTATAACTACCTTATAAATTAGAAAGCCTGCAGCTGTGTACTGGACACCTCTGGGTCTGCCCAACAGCTCACTTCCTATTGTATGCACTATGTCCTCAGGGATTCCTGAGGCTTGACTGGCAGCAACCTTCAACTTTAGCATCAGGCAAACTGTCTGGGAAATGGTAAGAAACAAACTCACAATAATGCTGATAGAAGAAAAAGTGTACTGTCAGCTTCAACAGGAAGGAATTCCTATATAGACGGCTTAGAAGTTAACACCACACACCACTCTTACGGAGGACTGGAATTCAATTCCCAGAAGCCACATTCATGGTTCCACAACTATCTGTAACTCTAGGTCCAGAGGATCCAACACACTCTTCTAGCCTCTGCAGACAACTGAACTCACAAGTACATGCCCTCCCCACACACATATACATATGCATAATTTAAAATGAAAATGAATCTTTAAAAAGGACAGAAATTGGAAGCAAGCAAATTAGATGGAAACAGTTTGCCACTTGCTCCTATGGCCTCATGTCCCTAGAGGAAGGTAAGACAAGCTTTCTTCCCACAGGGACAGAGACCAGGTTGTCTTTGTGGACATGAGTATCCATGGGGGCTGTGGTCTGGAAGCTGTCATTTTCCTTTCCTATCCTACTTTCCACTCTGCCTCCCTCTCATCAACCACCCCTACACTGCTTTTCTCAGGAGAAGCCCATGTTCTGTCACTGAAATGTCTTTGGGAGTTGGTCCATAAAAAACCCATTTTATCCCACCAAAGCCACACTGCAGAAGACCCCGCAGCCTACTGTGAGCCAGCTGAGCCTGGAAGTGTTCCTCAGTGGTCCTAAAGAGGCATTTCAGCCAACTAGCTAAGGCAATGAGCAGAGCAGGCCACTCTGTATACTGGCTCTCCAGATGAACACTGAAATCCATTTTCTCCCCTCTTATTCCAAGTCAAGCAGAGGGAAGAAAAAGCAGAGGTTCTGCAACCCCAGTGAACAGAGCTCAGTGGGAAACTCACAGGAAGAGAGAGCCAGTGGGCCTCGGGCTGGAGACAGAGATGGAAAATGTAGATTTTTGAGTTGTGCTTGACAGGGCAGGAGAAGACATTTCCATGAAATCAAACCAGAGTGAGAACAGGATGTGGGCAGGATAACAGGATGCCAGGAGAGTGGGGCTTTGTGAGACAGACTGCCAGGCAGGTGAAGGGCAAGAACAGATTTCTGACTGAATAGAAGCAGATCCATGTGACCAATATATCAAAGGGCTGCTGTGGAATCAAACTTCAAAGATCCCAGGATGTGGAGAAAAAGGTTGTGATTATAAAATCGACAAAGGCAGATACCAGAGACATACTGATCGAAGAAAGAAGCCAGAAAAAACGAAGCCAGGGCAGTAATAGCCCAAGCTACAACAGAAAAGAATGACATAAAGCTAAACGAGTAAGCTTGAGGGTGAACTGAAAAGTCTTGCTATTTCCTAACAAAAATAATGAAATGAAACACACTATAGACACATTCTGACAATATCCATGTGATGAAAAGGTTCAGAGTACTTTGGCATATAGGTAGAAGGAAGTAGGGCTACTAACAAAGGACTCAGGTCACACAGACCCCAGATTCTCCCACGGTAGCAGTAAATACACAACTCTACTGGACCTTGTAGATGGACTTTGGGCTAAGGTTTTATTAAACCATGTAAATTATATTTTGAGTATGAAATAAGCAAAGTGCATAGGTTTCAGTAAACTACCCCATCCCATCCTAGCCTGTGAGAAGAATCAGAAGTAGAGACTAAAGAAAAATTAGTAAACTCCCCCATCCCATCCTAGCCTGTGAGAAGAATCAGAAGTAGAGACTAAAGAACAGATTGACAAAAGGTTTTTTCATTTTTAAAGATTTATTTTTATTTTTCATTACATCTATGTGTCTGTACAAGGGATGCTCAATTGAGCAAAGGTGCTCACAGAGGCCAGGGGCATCAGATCCCCCTGGAGCTGGTTACAGGTGGTTAAAAGCTGCCTAGCATGGGTTCTGGAAACCAAACGCAGGTCCTTTTCAAGAGCAGCATTCAGTCTTAGCCACTGATGCATCTCTCTGGACTAAAAGTAAGCAGTAACCTAGGCTAACAAAAGAAAGCTGGGCTTGGTGGTATACATTTGTAATCTCAGTACTTGGGAGATGAAGGCAAGAAGATATAGTAAGTTTGAGGACAGCTGGGGCTACAAGAGACCCTAGCTCAACAAAACAAAAGAAGAAAGGAAGAAAGAACAGAAAGAAGAAAGGAAGTGAAGGAGGGAAGGGGGCTTTTAAAGCTATTGTAAGTATACACAGAGAACTAAACGAAAACATTGAATTGCTCTTGGAGCAGCAAAGTCATTCCTGAAATGCTCAGCCTACAATCTGAAACAGAATGTGATAATGTAACAATTGGGCATACTAACAGGGAGGCGGGGAGAGGCTCACGGAAGGAAGGTAAAAACTGTATTAAATTATGAGCCTTATGCAGCCATAACACTGTCATTAGTAGATATTAAAAGCCCTTATCTTGCCAAATTTCAGGAAACGATAAAAGCAAACAACACATGGTCTAAAGCACTGAGCCAGACAGCAAGTAAAACAGCCAGAAACTATAAAAAATAGTTGGCAGCAGTAAAATTAAATGTAAATAAGAAAAACCCTTTGTTATAAAAACAAGATCTTCCGTTGCATTACAGATTCTCTTTGTCTAAATTAAAGACAAACACCCCAAAATGGAAACCACAGAAACAGTTAAGGGACACACAAAGAAAGTAAAAACAAGAGGGACAAAATTTTAAGACAATCAGGACTCTGCACAAAAGGCAGGAGAGGACATCCAAGTGCAACAATATTAATTAAGGTTCATCTGCCATGAATGCTTGTGCGAGGGTCTGTGCACCAGATAATGATGTATCAAAATACAAGTAATTAAGCCCAGACATACATGAGAATATTACAGAACTGCAATGTTTATGAACTCTTAGCATCTCAGGAGGTATCAGAGAAAATGGTGGTAAAATTTTGAGTACTTCTACAATGTACTGTTTCACACCGTATTTACACGTAAGAATAGAGCTGTTAACCCTCACACATAGAAGGTGACTATCCACCCAACACAGTGGAGACTATCACAGTCTACTACCCAATGTCAAAATGTAATATTAATCCAAGTTCAAGTGGCCAACACTCCCTTCCCAGTAAAAACCTTGTAAGTTCCCAAACTAATTAAAAACTCCCTGTGGTATAAAGAGAAACAACGAGTGTATACTTTACTCACATGCTGGTTGTAGAATTTAATCTAAGGGAGTCATCAGTTATGTTGACAGAGGTGTGTGAAAACAAAAGTGATTTATGTTGTGAAAATATCATGTACAATGAGAAATGACTAAATACTCTTGATATCATCACCAAATGAAATCCCAGCATTAAAAACTGATGTAATCTAGTTAGGGTTAGAAGTGACTATAAGTAATTATGGCTGAGAGAGGGAAAAGTAGACTTCCCTAGGGATGAGCCCTCTAAGTGGCTATTCAATGCCAAGTGCTCAGCCCTCGAAACAAGAGCATCAGCAAATGGACTCGGATTGTATCCGTATGGTCGTATGTATGCAGACATGTAAAAATAGTGATTAAAGAAAACAACAGAAATAATACAGGAGAGTAGAGGAGGTCTTGGAAGTAGAGGAAGAGGAACAGTGAAGGGGGCAGCAGGATATGACAGTAGGGAATTGAAGATGATGCAGGTATATTACATATATGTATGAAATGCAATAATAAAACTCAGTTTGTACAATATTAAATGATCACGGCATGATATATCAATAGCAAAGTTTTTCAGGTGGAAAATTTTGAGATAATTTGTTCCTATTCAGGCTGTATATATTCTTGAGTCTTCATACACTTATTTTTTAAAGCAATGCTGGGTTTGATAGCTGAGCATGTCTGTAGTACTTTCAGCAATTTCTGGCTTCCACCACAATGCCATCAACATGCACTTAACGGACTCAACAGGCCTTGCAGCTTACCTTAGCAGTCATTAATTAAGTGTAAGTGTTCAGGGTCAGCTTTGTGATGGCACCTGTGGGGGCTATGAAAAATTACTATACTCCCATTTCCCCTCCCAGAACTAATGGTGAAAGAAACATGGAAAATATGCCACAATGTAGATGGTGGTAAATTATAGGGCCCGGGATTCAAGGATGAGGGAAATGACAAACTAGGCACAGGGAGGTCAGGCCTGAGGGGTGCTATCCAACAATCTACAGGAGGAAGAGCCTCAAAAACAGAAGGTGCTAAGATAAGAGGATGCTGGCTTGTGGAAGAAGAGCAAAGATGATGGAGTGGCCAGAATACAGGGAGCAAAGGAGAGAAGGGAAATGGACCAGATTTTCTAGGACTGTGCAGCCACTGTGAGACACTAGGAATCCCTCTCCCCTGGAAGATGCCCTGAGAATAGCCTTATCTTGTGTTCTCCTTAGTTCTTCATCAATTTGACTCAAGCTAAAGTCATCTGGTGAAGAGGGAACCTCAATTGAGAAAATACCTCCATCAGATTGGCTTATAGGAATTTTTAAAATTAATGATTGATGTGGTAGAGCCCAGCCCATTATCGGCATTGCTACACCTGGATAGATGGTCCTCGGTTTTATAAAAATCAAGTCGAGTGAGCCACAGAGAGCAAGCCAATAAGCAGTATTGTCCTATGGCTGCTACTTCAGTTCCTGCCCTGTTTGAGCTCCTATCTTGGCTTTCCTCAATGATGCACTGTGATTAGGGGTGTGAGGTAAGTAACCCTTTCCTTCTCTAGGTGCTTTTGGTCATGGTGTATTGATGGCTAGGCTGGTCCAGGACATTCCCTGAGGCCCTGATGCATGGAGAAGGAACTTAGTTCCTGTCTAAAGCATGTTACATGCTTTTCGAGGCTAGTAATGGGAGAGCTACAGTTTTCTGGATGCTGAGAACTCAACTACCTCCGCCCCCCACCAAAGGTTAATGGTCCCAAGGCTTTGCGCACTCCATCTTTGATGCACATTTTTCCCTTTGTACAACATTGCTTGATTAGCCTCCTGCCAATTTCTTCCCATTGTATGATGGCTTTCTGCTGACTCTGTCCCATTTCCCCCTGCAAACTGTATGTAAAGATGCTGTACTTCTTACTAAACTTGCTTGGCATAACATATAACTTATGTAAGACCTCCTGATTCCAAACCTTTCCTATCTTCTTTATTTTCTGATCCCTTGGTCCTTCCTGTCAGAAACCTGTCATTAAAGAACAACCTGCTGGTCCCGGTCAATGGTGTTTATCACAGCAACAGAAAACAACTAATGCAGGTGGCAAAAGTATAAAGGGACCTATTGAAACGGTGGCTTTAGAGCAGTGCTGGGGTTACTGACAAGTGGGTGGGTTTGAAATACACACTGAAAATAGAGCCAACAGAATTGCTAAAGGACTGGATGTAGCATGTAAAAGAAAAGGAGTCATAAATGAATCTTCTAAAATCTTGTCATGAGTAACTGTCTGGAGTGGAGGAAGGATCGGCTTGCCAGCAAGTACTGAGATGGAAGCAAGAGGCAGTGTTAAGCAATGTAACATTCAAAAAGCTGGGAGACACCAGTGGAGATATCCAGCAGACAGTGAGGTTGACAACCTGGACTTAAAATTGTAGACGAAAAGTACTGAACAACCAGTATTGACCACTGTAAGGCAAACAGCTCAATGATATGTGAGGCCCTCAAGAGAAGGTTTGTGTAAACATGCTTAGCAATGGCTTTACCCTTGGGGAGCTCACGGGATGGTGAGAAAACCCATTACACACCAGACTCAAGGACTTACTGGCACACTGGAGTGACTCTTTCCCCAGGAGTGTTTTATCACAACCCGAACACTGCAGAACCCCGGAAAATGTTCCTGGGACAAACTGGTGTCGATTCAGTTTTTCTTTGTCTTTAGCATCCTTGTTTTTCATCTTCAGAAGCAGCGGTCACAATAGAAAAGTGGGAGGAAATGCAAAGAGGAAACAGCTGTCAGTAGGTATTCTTACAGAACTCATGCATCTACGTGGACTGACCCTGTATGGATTGCCTTAATATTCCCAATGACCTGGAAAGAATCCATAAGAAAGGTGCACACACAGTCAAAGGCAGGTGATCTAAAGGCCACACATGGGGAAACTATGCGGAGCACTGAGGAGCCACCTACGCTTTGTAGCAGGTAGGCACACACCCCGATTTACCTTAGATTTGTTCCGAGGGCTGGTCATCCTGTTCATGAGGAAGCTGAATGTCCGGCTCACTTTGTACTTTTCAGACTCAGATTTTGCAGGAATGATGTATTCGTCCCATTCTTCTTCTTGAATTCTACAAAGAAAGAACTCTGTGACCAGGCTTTAGAGGCCTAAAGGGGGGCAACGGACAGCATGAAACATGTTTGTACATATGTCTGTATGGATATGGCTAGACTTTGTTTTTAGGTTTAAATGTTTGCAAAGAGAAAAACCACAACTTCGTAATTAAAAATACATCTTATAAAGGGATGAACGAGTGACTAGATTTGATAAAGCAACTGTATAGCAATGCTAACAACTGCAGAATCTAATAGAATGAGTAGTTGTCATACACTTGTTTCAACTTTCCTATATTCGTGAAAACTATACTGAAATACTTGGGAAATATATTTTGATAATCTTACCCTGACAAAACTCATCCACCTATTTAATATGCCAACAGAAATTTCCTGAGACACAGAGAAGTCAAGCAACTGACAGTATGGAAGTAGATTTTATTATGTTGGGAACATAGGGGTGGTTTTCCGTAGACAGACATTTCCCTGATTGGTACCAGTTGAGAAACAGATTGTGCATCTGTAGGTTCAGCTTATCTCATTCATCCAGGTTTGCACCTTGAGACTAAGTTGTAGAGGAGTGGAGGCTACACAGACTGCAACCTGGAAGCAACTCCATCATGATCATTTTACTTTCTCATGATTCATATAGCCATTCCTAGAATGAACAGACTGAACTATCTCAAGTAAAAGAAAATTAATCCCTGGTTCCTCAACTCTACTTCTACTCTCCATGTCACAGAAGACTTTATCAAGAAACTGTTAGTTTTTATCAAAAATCTGTAAGGTGATTGAACTATACCATGTTCTTCAGAATGCTATAAAACTATGGTATTCAATCCATAGGCTTGGAGTAGAGGAGACTTAAATCTAAGTGTTAACAAACCGACATTGAATATTATGGAGGTAGAGCTACCACCCAACCTGATAGAAGAGTGGATAGCAAACACATAAGCCACAGCTGGGTAATGAGAATGGGGGGGGGTGCTTCCTCTATGCACATGCAGGAGATTGGGCCACTCTGTGTTTTAACTAAATCTGACTTGCTGTATTCCTCTAGCAATTAGCTGTTTTGGACAAGAACTAGCTGAGGTTAACTAACTTCTGAATTTATATAACTCTGACGAAGTTCTTTTCCATATCCCAAAACAAAAATGTTCAATTTCTGATATCAGGTTGATGACCAATGGGATTTCCTACCATAATGTCCTACAAACCCTGTTCTTCAGAAACCCCTTTGACATCTTTTCAATAGATAGACATATATTTCAAATGTGTTAAGAACATGGATCTTCAAATCTTAACCTTAATCAATTTTATTGATAACCTATTATCTTCAGTGAACTGGATTCAAAGTATTAAAGTAAGTTCCCACTATGCAAATTGAGTGGTAGCACTTCCTTGCTTTAAGGATAATTAATTTAATTAGATGTAATTAATTTAAAATGGACAGTAGTTGGTATAATGACGATCTGTACTGTATAATCATCAGTGAACCAGGAAAATGGCTTGTTTATTGCAATGAGCCTACAAGGTCTGGGGTAAGTCCCCTTTTATCTTAGATATGTTCTTTTCCCCCACAAACTGACTAGTCTAAGTAAGAGAATACCAAAGAAAGACTTTCCTTGAGTAATTACCTACATGATGGCTAAGGCAAACATCAGGTGTGGCTGGGGAACTTCTTGGCGTATCCAACAAGACACCGGGGATAGAGTCAAGGAGAAGGAAGATCTACCCTACTGGACCCAGCTGTGTCCTCTAAGTGCATGAGTGAGAGGGGTGAGACCAAGAGAGAAATAAACAGTAATGACAAAAAGTAAGAAAGGCTCTTCCCTCACACATGCCTTGCAGGTGACATTACTGTATGAGCTGTGACTTGACCAAGTGTTACCCTGTCTCCTCTCATCTTCCAACCTCCTAACAGAAAATATTTTTACTTAAAGGATGGCTTAATAATCAGCCTACTATTACTACAACTGTTAGAAAGACAGGATCCCGAAGACAGTGAATCAACAACCAAGATGATTGTCAAATTCCAGTGTTTGGAACAGACTTCTTAAATACAAACAGCCGGAGGCACATGCGATCACCCAGTAATTGTCAGTTACTACCGCCTCAGCTTTCACCATCATCATCACTCCATTCTTCAATGGCATTCTTAGTTTTCCTCTGTTTGTGTATCTGGAAGTTCCTATTCTTGTCTAAAACAATGTAAAAAAAAACAAAGCTGGCACTTTCTTACTGCTACTTTCATTGGGAGGTTTAAAACAAAACACTCATCTTCATCTAGATGTTAAAAAAAATTCCAGAGTGCTAGGATTCATGCCACCAAAGTTAAAGATACTTCACTGTTTCCCAGAGAATCCTTAAAGTCAACCACTTATGCCATTTCTTTCACTTGTTCTGCAATAGGCCCAGGGCTAATAATGCCAACTAGGTGTTCAAGGCCAATAGAACTCGGCCATCTCACTTGCAGCCTGGTCTCTTCCCAGGCTTGGCGATGGTACCAGCTTTACTTTCTAGGATAAAGAGCAGCTTGGGCTTCAAGTCTCAGATCTACACAGTAAGCAGAAGCCCAGCAGTGCTAAAGGCAGCGCCTGCATCAAGCCTAACACTGCTAAGCAGAAATCCACAGAGGTGTGTTTATGGGATTTCCCCAACAACCATCTGGGCAACTGTTGCTGCAGAGAGTCTTCTAGTAGTAGAGCAGATTTAGAGAAATCCTGCAACCTGTGAAGCTGGTGGTCCTCACAGCCCCTTGAGATGTTCATATTTGAAAATGCCCTAAAACAGAACCCCCTGTCCCGAGTCCTGCTGCCCATAACCCTGAGGATGGAAAACAGACATCTGGCCAACTACACTGACTCCAGAGAGGGAACAATGGGTCTTGGGTAGCTTGTTACACAGAAATCTCTCACCAACTATTGGACACATAGGAAAAGTGATGTATAGACATTTCCAAAGAAAGATCAGTGGGAACCCTCAACGTACCTTTTTTCTCCTGGTGGCTCCGGAAAACTATATGATCTCTGTTCTGTAAGGCACACACAAATAAATAAATAAATAAGCAAATAAACAAGAAAGCTAAGACAAACAGCAGTCACTTGTTAGTATGAGATGCACATGTTCACCAAACTTATCATTTTATACATTATCAGTTAGAAAAAGACAGAGAAATGATCTTCTGCAGGTTTTATTGCTTTCCCTGGCTTGAAGGGGAAGAGGTCAATTTAGTAACTTCAGGGAGTGTGTTAGCATCAGCACATGGAAGCCCATAGTTTGTAAATGGTACAGAAAATTGGCAAACTGGGATACTTCACACTGAAGCATCTTTACTTGTAACACAAATCGCTAACACAGGGAATCAATAAACTGCTGCTTTTCAGCAAATAACACTGAGGATGGATGTCTTGAAAGCCAGCACGGGGAAGGGTCTATCCTAACATGGCTACAATGTCACATCCTCAAGCAGCCCAATCAGAGACACACTCTGTGGCTGAGGGGAAAGAAGAGGCACCCTTCCCATCAGCCTGGTGGGGCAGAGGGCGGGTTTCTGCAAACACAGTGCTATCTTTTTTACAGAGTCGGGATACTTACTGTGAGTATGAAAGGGGGCACTGAGTTAGATGGGAGAAATGGGAGCGAGTGGGGACTGAGGAGCACACCAACCACAGAGCAGGGCAATCCTTCACCCATACAAGGCAGAGTTGGGGAAGAGGTGGAAATAGGAATACAGGAGGACGAGCCACTTACATATACCATGTAAATAAATAGCCCCCACTCCAAGTTCTTGTATGTAATAGAAAAATCTACTTTGAGAAAAATCAAAGACTTTTATGTCATTATAAATGTTTTTCAAATTAACTCATAGCTTTTATTGATAAATAGGGCGATGTTCCAAGAAAATACGAGAGCCAAGCCTATCAACTTTTAAAGTTCATTATAAAGCAACTGGTCACAATCTAATTAGATTCCATCCATCGGTTTATAGTGACCTTTTAAAGTATGACATCACTCTACAAATTCTTAACATAGACTATATTTTAACTTCACAGTGAGGTTGTAGTTATTATTACAATCTTGACAAGATTCTTTTGCTGAAGGAAACTATAAAGCTTTATTTTAGGTATGGAAACAAACACTGAAGTTACTGCCATTAAACACTTGACTCAAAATAAAAAAAGCAGACATGAGAAATAATAGCAAGTAACCATTCAGAATTGGCAAGGAAGACAGAATATGTCAAATAAGATCTAGAAAAGAGGGGCCAGAAAGAGGGCTCTGTGGTTAAAGCTCTTGCTGCTCTAGCAGAGGACATGAATCTATTTCCCAGCATTCATATGGGGTGTTCACCACTGTCTGGGTACCTGTACATATGCAGCACACAATACACTCAGGCACATACCTATACATACAAAATGAATTAAATAGAAATAAAATATTTAAAAAAGAACTAAGAGGGGTGTTGGTAGCATATGTCTTTAATCCCAGCACTTGGGAGGCAGAGGCAGGTGGATCCCTGAGTTCCAGGTCAGCCTGGTCTACAGAGCGAGTTCCAGGACAGGCTCCAAAGCCACAGAGAAACACTTTCTCAGAAAAAAAAAAAGGATCAAGAGGAACAGATAGCTCAGTGGTTAAGAACACTGGCTGCTCTTTCAGAGGACCTGGGCTCAATTCCCAACGCCCACAGGGTGACTCACAAACACCTCTAATTCTAGGTCCAGGGGATCTGATACCCTCTCTTGCCTCCCTGGGCACCAGACATGCACATGGTGCACATACATGCATGCAAGCAAAACACATGCATACATTAACAAATTAATAAAAAAGTTTTTAAAAGAATAGTACAAATGCGTCCGAAGTTTGGGTATCTGTATTATGCCTCAAACAAGGAAGCATACCCCTGGGCAAATGGAGACTTGGTCTCTGTTCAAACAGAGAAAAATTTAGTACTATGCAAAATTCATCATGGAGAAGTAACAACAAAACTAACATCAATTTACTTTTGATTCAATCCAGCAAACTAAACAATAGACATGTGAATATTTCCTTGAAACATACAAGCTTTTCACACTTGTGTTTTGGTTACATAAACACAGTCAGAATTATTTCTTCTCCATTAGAAGGCAAATTATCCTTTGTAGCCCTATGGGTGTGACTGGACCTTAAACAATGCTGGCAACTGTACAGTTTCTGTCCACTGGAATCCTCAACTCTCTCTCTCTCTCTCTCTCTCTCTCTCTCTCTCTCTCTCTCTCTCTCTCTCTCTCTCTCTCTCTCTCTCTCTCTCTCTCTCTCTCTCTCTCTCTCTCTCTCTGTCCCCCCCCCCCGTGTGTGTGTGTGTGTGTGTGTGTGTGTGTGTGTGTGTGGTATTGTATCAAGCTAAATCACATGGTTCTAGTTCTTACCTTCTGGGTGCTTTCAAACGTCATTCAAATATCCCTGTTTTTAAGCACACCGCTTAGAGGCAAGTCTTTATTTATAGACAAGAAGGGCAGCAGAGGAATTGATGCCATCTTTTTATTCCTTCTAATTCAAATGCGGAGATTTAGGTTTCAATTAAAATTTATAACTTAAGGTACTTTTTCCTTAACAGTCAATCAATTTCCTCTCCATCATCAGGTCACTGATTTCAAACCTTGCAGGTTGAGAAACCGAAGTTCTAATGGTGAGACACCCATACTAGGCACTGAATGGAAGATTCAAGTATTTTTTCCAAATAATGATAGTGTGAAACTAAGTCACTAGCTAGGACTATTAATGAAAAGGTGTCAAGGTACCATTAAAGGGACCTGAACCCAAGGTTGACAGGGGACTTGGAGGGCCAAAAAAAAAAAAAAAAAAAAAAAAAGACCTATGAAATGAAGGGGGACCTGCAGAGCAAACGCCTAACTTCTAGCAGCTGTTACTGATTTTTCTTTTCTTTGAGGACTTAGAAACATGAATGACCAGTCTTCCTTCTCTGCTAATAATGCAATAATGCATCCCAGAAGAAAGGGGAAGACACAGAGCAGCACTGACTGTGTGGCTCATCAGTCTCGTCTATCTTGTTCATGCAGCAGATCTTGCCTGGATAGTTAGCACGCGTTGGCACTTGGGAATGGCATTGCCAAGCTCGAAGGCTAGATTCTCAGTATTGAACAAGTATTGTGATGTCAGAAAACGCAAAATGGGAGTAAAACCAGAACAAAGTAAGAAAAAGAAGAAAGGGAAAGAGGAAGACTGAAACACTGAGGCCCATGGCTTGCTTTTAGATGGCTCAAGGAGAAAATAGAGAATTATCTGATATATTGAAGTTTATTTTTTTATTAAACTATTATGCATTTCTCACTAAGACGAACACTCCCAAATTGGCCTTTAAATATGACCATTATACAATAATGTGTTCACAGGAAGTGTAATTACCTTTTAAAGCAAAGTTTAAAATGAGGGCAGTGAGTAAGAGCAGCTCCCAGGAGAACTCTACATTGCTCATACTGTTTTCTGTTTTCAGAGCAGAATTCACGTTTGAAAATTAGACACTCTCTTCTAATGTGCATTGTTCCTTGCAGCAATGCTACATTTTAATAAAAGTTTATCATATAAAAGTTGTATGCCTGCTTCTTTACATTGCTACTCTTCTTCCAGATGCTGAGGTATAGTTACTGGTATTGTGAATGCACTATTATTTCAACTCTCCCAAGTCCTGGGCTAAATAAGGAAGACAGAAACTTCATTCTGCTCTGCTGGTCTGCCTCGGAGGAGCTGCCTGCCTCTCAGCACTATACATGTAGGACAAAAGTAATTCTCGGAATTTACTTAAGTAAAATCCTCTAAGGTCCTCACAGTAATAAACTCGGAGTCCATTCTTGTTTGTACTATCCTTGAGAGCAATGTTTTACTAAAATAAACAACAGAGAAGTGGGCACTAATGTATAATTTTCTCAAAATTAAACCTACAGTGGCTGAAGTCCAACAGGGAAAGAATTTTACTATGCTTAGAAATATTGGTTGTGGAAGCAGAACTGAAACTCGCCTGCAGTTCCTGTGCAGTTCCTTCGACTAACTAACTGGACGTCTGCCCTGGAATTGAATGAGTTCAAAGTCAGAGGGCAGACAGTGCTTACCTTCACTGGAACTGCACACTGTGAAGTCACGCACTAGCCGGGATTTTCCGGAAGAGATTTTGGGTGACGAGCAGGAATACGAACGTGAGCGAATCCCAGAAAGCAGGGACTCCTAAGAAAGATCACAGCGTCGCATTATCACCATCACTGAACAAAACCCCGACCCAGGCATTACATCCATGCAGTTATTTATTTGTCCTGGAAATTGAACCCAGGACCTTGTGCATGCTGGGAAGGCACTCAGCCCACGCTCTACTGTTCAATTTGAGACATGGTCACACTAAGTTGCCCAGGCTGGCACTGGGCTTGGGTTAGTCTGTCTAGGTCTCCTGTGTAACTGGGTGAATGACCTGCACCACCAGGTCTGGCAACATTTATTATAGGATCTTCTTAATTATTTGTTCTGTTTGCATCCCAAAGCTTTTCTAGTATTCTCTTTTTCATCTACTGCTTTGATAAACTTTGTGGAATAGTTCTCATACATATAAAAGTATCTTTTTATCATTTCAACAACTTGGTTTAAAATGAGAAAATTATGCCACATGAATTTTTCGCTAAATGTTCAACTGTGGCTTTAAATTGTTCTTACGTGGGTTATTACTTTTTTTGTTAGTTTATACTTCAGCATTCAAACAGAATTATATACTAACTGAGATCTCTTTCCTTAAACAATTTTAGAAGGTAGAGAAATATCTACATCCAATTATAAGAGATTTTAAGCTTTCAAATGGCTGTTTAAATCTACAGTGTTAGCTGTAGCCTCTAGAAAAAGTCCATGTGAGTCACTGTTTAATAGACTTACCATCTGTATTTCCCAGAGTGATACTATCAATGATTTATATGATTTTAATATCATTCCTTTTAAATGACCCACCATTTTTGTTCCTGTTTCCCAGTTATGTGTAATTACTATTATTATATTTGCAACATACATAAAAATGAAAGATGGCCATATAATTAAAACATGGTTTTCTTACACGTTCAAGAAATTTTAGATGAATATGTAATAGAAATTCATTGAAGCCATTTATGGTAACTAACTCCTATCCCACAGAGGCCTTAACATTGATCCTGCCCATGTATTTTTTGAGGTATCAATTAAGGTGAGAGTTAAAAGAAAGTGATGCAGAATTCTTTATTAAAATTAAACCATCACAAACTGTCCTACATGAGATCCGGTCTTACCTATTCTTCCTAAGTGAAAACACCTGGCTCCTTGGCTGTCTTTGGTTAAAGAGCTCAGGGCAGGACTGAGTACAGAAGTCCCACCCGGCTTCAGAGGGCCTTGGCTTAGTTGCTTCATCTAGAAGCTGCCTTATCTATCTGTTAAGCTGTCCTCTAACCTGAGCAGGAAATGGGCCACAAGGAGCCTGCCAGATGCCATCCTCTTCGCCTAAGTCATGCACGGTAACCATTGTTCATGACAATGGAACTCTGAAAACTGTCTGAAACCTTTTGGCTAAGTTATGCTGGGTAATTACAGAGGCAAGACAAGCTTTGCTTCACAGCACAAAATCTGCTTTGAAATCAATGTGGAATTGTTTCCAAAGAGCTATATTGCATTCCAAGGAATGATAAGGTTTTCACATTCCATTCAAAACCCAAAGCTAGTTAGTATTAGCATTCACAACCATATACAGGTTTTCTTGAATAGTATTCATCCACACTTCTATACTTATTACCCAGAAATATCATGTGATGCTCAGCTTCAAAAATAAGTATAGATTTCCCAGGTTACAAAAGGAAAAGGATTGAGTATGGGGGATAGAAGACCTTAATTTGAGTAATGACATGTGACCAACCTAGAGCCACTTACACAAAACTCTAATCTTTTCAAAACAAAATAAAAGTGCTACTTAAGTCTTAGATAGGCTAAGAAAAATCCCTGTACTTTATACACACATAAAACCATTTTGTATATTACAGGGTATGCTGCAAAAGTAAGGTATTATCTTACTAGCCACATGTTCTTGGTCAAACCTTGGCATTTCACACATTGTTTTACAGTAGTGAATACAGTCTAAGAAGAAAATGAGTGTATTATAACAGAACTTAAATAGAAAGTATGTATATATGTTCAAACAGAATAGTTTGCTTTGAGAAACTGAACTATTTATTTACTTTTAATAAATTTATTTATTTGTCTGTTTTACTTCCTGGCCAGTTTCCCCTCCCTCCTCTCTTTACAGCATGTCTGTTCCACCCCAACTCTATTCCTATCCCCCAGTCCATTCCTCCACTGTTTCTGTTTAGGAAAGAGCAGGTCTCTCATGAATATCAACAAAACACGGCATACAAGTTTCAGGAAGAATAAGCACCTCCCCATGTATTGAGGCTGGGCAAGGTGACCCAGTATGAGGAATAGGGTCCCAAAAGCCAGTAAAAGTGTCAGAGACAGCTCTTGTTCCCACTGTCAGGAATCCCACAGAAGACCAAACTACACAACTGTAACGTATATGCAGAGTGCCTAGATCAGTCCCGTGCAAACTTCATGACTCTGTAAGCCCTATGAGGCCATGAAGTTCATGAAATTATCAAGAAGTCTAAAACTTCAAGATGGCAAAGTGACATTGCAGAGTATCTCATGAAGCCAGGAATACCCAGTAAACATCACTTCTGACCTACTGACATCATCCACCTCCTCGAGGGGACCAGGATAAAGATTGTGTGTGCAAAACAAGCTTGATCACTTAAATCCAGTATCACCAGTTTTCCTCCTTCTGTGTCAGGAAGGAGAGCAGGAAAATATGGAATGGAAACATTTCCCAAGTATGTAAAAATGGCATGTACTTCTTGTAAGTTAATCACATTAACCAACTACTGGAAGACTTTAAAAATCAAAATGGAGTCATGGAGATTAAAAGGCAGCTATCACGGGAGTCCCTCCTGACACATACACAAGTATTTCTTCTGCGGGAAGAAAACAGACTCTGTCCTGGGGATAGAGATGGGGGCAGTGAGAACACATTCTGTGCATTTACAACGAGCAGAGCAAACCCCGAGGAGAATACCTTTGAATGCAGAGCACTTGATAGGGAAAGTGATTCGGTCCTGGAGATATTACAATCTGCTTCAGTGTTGGTCTCAAAGGAATCCAGTTCATCCCCACTGGGAAGCCCAGTTCTCAAGGAACTCTGGGAGCTCACAGTATAGCAGATGGGGGGCTCAGAACACCCTTCCCCTTCACTGTCGGCAACCAGGGCATCCAGGCTAGAACTAAAGCATGAAATAAATCACTCAGTGAGCAGTCAGACAGATGCTGGGGTTTGTTTCTGTGTTCAGATTCTCTCAATGGTGTGAGATGCAGTGAGCGGCCATATAATTCCTCACTGATACTGCTTTTTATACTTTTCTCCTCCGAATCTCATTTTAAACAAAAATTTATTTATTTTTCCTTTGAGTGTGCACAAGTGGATGTGTGTGTGCATGCGTGTACCACCTGTACACATGTGGAAGTCAGAGAACAATATGCAAGAGTTAGTTCTCTCCTACCACCATATGGAACCTGGAGATCAAATTCAGGTTGTCATGCTTGGTGGCAAGGACCTCTCTCTACCTGCCGAGCCATTTCACCAGCTCTTTAAACAAAATTTCATATGTCCCCCAAATGGATATTCCTAAATGGCAAAGGCCACTTTGTTATGAATATTATTCTAATTAGTCAAAGATGTATTACACTTGTTTATGTTTCAGAATATTACTATAACTTTGTAAAGGTGTGTTATATTTGTTTATGCTACATTTGTTTAACCATATAAGGATATGTGTTTAATTATGCAAAAACATGTTGCATTTGTTTCACCTTGCCTGCCTAAGGCACCTGATTGATCAAATAAAGAGCTGAATGGCCAATAGCTAGGCAGGAGAGGGATAGACAAGGCTGGTGGACAGAGAATAAAAGGAGGCTTGGGGGAGGAGAGAAGAACGAGAGAATGAGGGACATACCCAGGGAGAGAAGCCAGGCAGACACCAGCCAGGCAGACATAGAAAAGCAGTGAAAGTAAAATACACAGAAGGAACCAAGGTAAATGTCCAGAAGCAAAGCATGGATGGACAGAAACAGGTTAAGTTAAAAAAAAAAAAAAGCTAGCCAGAAAAGATCTAAGCTAAGGCCGAGCATTCAAAACTAAGGAGTATCTGTGTCATTATTTTGGAATGGTTGGTGGCCTAAAATAAATAGCCTGTTTCACCATTTCAATTACTTTACAAAAGTGGATTTTATGGCTATAATCTCACTATTTTTGTTTTGTAAACATCATCATTACCAGCCCTATATAGCAATCCTTCACATACTGAAAAGGCCAACAAGGTTTGCACAGCAGCCTCTGGGCAATGACACAGGGAAGATGCAGTTGCCACCCCCTCAGTTGGAAAGCTGGGAGGGCAGAGGTGAGCAGAAGAGACTGTCACAAAGAGCTCACCTCAGTGGAACGAGAGTCAGAGGTAAACTTCATGTGAAGCCTCAAGCATGCCAACGTGAGATGATCATTTCCAGAGACTTACTGTAAAGGATTCTGCCTCAGAAGGAAGTAAAGATTCTGCTTGACTGCAACTTTCTCCTCGCATTTAACTTTCATAACCATAGCATCAAAGAACAGAATGTGACTGCCCACTTTCAAGGTTCAGTCACTTATAACATTAACATTTTTAAACCATTCCACCAAGCATCAAGGCCATGGGTAGTCATGGGTGTCCATGGGTGCTCAAGGATGCATTATAACATGAGATATATTTGTAGTGTATTTTCTTTGACTGTTTCGGTGCTAGAGAATGAGGTTTTCATCCAACACAACACTGGAAAACCATCTTGTTGGAACTACAAACAATGGAAGTTGACATTCTAAATTATCCATTTTGACTTTTCTTTTTTTAAACATGGGTCATTTAATAGTGGAATATTGACTTCATAAATTACATGACTCTCAGAGTTCTTACTCCTCACTTAGATAAATTTCTAACCCTGACTCATCCCCTGGGCACAGGGGTTGGCAACATGGGGTCCCGCTTCCAAGGTAGACTCTTGTTTCAAGAACTCACTGGGGGTCTTGTCCTTAGCATCAAGAAGAAAAGAGAACTGGAGGCACACTTCTATTTCACTCATTTCAACACCCTCAACATCTTGGAGTCTGTTAGATTCTTTTTGTGAATGAAAAATGAAACTCAGTATGAAGAAAATACTCCTCAAAAATGATACTGGTTTGGAGTTACAGTAAAATAGAGCTATTTCACAGCTCTGGGTGGTTTGCTGACATACTAAAAATCTAAGAGGGAAGAATGGGCTCATCCGAGCTTGCTGCCTGTGTTCTCTGCTCTGGTGAAATGCAATCCCACTGGCAGCCTGCAACAACATCCTACTGTAGGTGTGTGGCCTTCTAGTTACAGAACACATTTCTCCATCACTGTGAAGAGACCATGGATGCTCCAATATTACATCATTTTCAGCATTAGAAAACAGTCACTACTCTTTCCCATCTAATTCAAATTAGACTGTGACCCTTCCTTGCTAAGCAATTAGCCTAAGATACTGGTAGCATAGATGGCCTTCTTCAAGGTTGCCCATAGATCCTCGCCTTACAATCATATCCACTAATGGGAGGTGGAGTCAAATCATTGGGATATAATCAGTATTTTCCTTTACAATAATATAAGGTATCAGATTATATTCAATATGCCAGTGCATAAAACTGATTAAATTCTAGAGGATGGGAGTGGTGAAAAGGTGACATTATTAAAAAAAAAAAAAAACCAGCTATGGATTATGATGGAACAGAAAGGGTCTGAGGTATATAAGTTTCAAAATGAAACAAATGGTTGTTTCCTACCACCTAAGTTTTGTTGCTTAGTATTTTAAAATGGGTGTTTTACACCTTATTTTTTCCTTTATTTTCTCAACAGAGTTTATCGGTGTTAATATAATCATGACATCCTGTAATACTAAATTGTTGTTTGTTTTTTTCAGAAAGTTAATGTCTATACCAAACAGTCAGAGAAGAAAAAGACTCACAAATAAATAAAATACAGAGTGTGAATGTTCTGTGGAAAGAATTCCAGCCATAAGGGCAATGTCTCTGTGACAGCAGTTGCTCTCACAACATACCACTGAGGGAGAGTTACTAGAAAGGCCTGACACCCTTCACCTCCCCTCAGCTCCAGGTGTCATGGGAGGTGACTTGATCTTTGCTAAGCTTCCATGGAGGAAAACAGGGCCTGAAAAGCACCCACATACAGAGTGGAAACTAAGACGTCAGCTGACATTCTGGCTGATGTGAAATCTACAGTGTTTTGACTTTTCTGCTACAATGGATATCCTGCATTCCCAGCTTAAAGGGATCCAGGAGATAGTTATTTTATAATTCCCTGACTATACCTGAGAAAGAATTGTGAAAATGAACTTAACTGCAAGTTATCTGTCCCGAGGCAAATGTTAATCAATTTGTTATTGTCTCCCTAGGGAAAGTAAGCCAACTGTGGCTAAGCCAGCAAACTATGCCCATTACTTTCCTGCTAGGATTACATACTGGTTTGTATGGCATGGTAAACCCACACTTCCCAAAATGGTTAGTGTGCCCCCAAATTCCTCTTTCTTTAGAAGTTCCTGGTCTCCCCTGCTCTTGTTCACTTAATAAATTTCACTATGGCTTATTGTCTATCAGAATATTTACTCCATGGCACCATCCACCAACAGGAGAGAACTTTAGTCAGCTCAAGGCTAAAAAGCCTCCCTTCTACCCATCACCATCCCTGTATTTCTCAAGACTGGTGGAGGGCACAGGAGAGGGCAAGCCTGTGGAAGCAACCTGACAAAGGATGTTTCAGCAGAACAGCTTCTACTCCTCCCAACAATAACTCTCTGTGTGTGTGTGTGTGTGTGTGTGTGTGTGTGTGTGTGTGTGTGTGGTGTGTGTGTGTGTGGGGTGATGTGTGTCATGTGTGTGTATATGTGTGTGTGGTGTGTATCTAAGTGTGTGTGTGTGTGTGTGTGTGTGTGTGTGTGTGTGTGTAGGCAGGTGGATAGGTAGGTAGATATTTTGATACTGTTGTGTAGCCCAGGCTGACCTTGAACTTGAACTTGCAATCTTCCTACTTCTGCCACCTGAGGGCAGACTTAGTTTTTCTGATATGCTAAAAAGGAAAAGCTCTATCTGTTTTAAGGAAATATCTAACTCTCCCACAACAGGAACATGAAAAAATAGATTTGAAGTTCTGGGAATATTTTCATATAGAGACCAAAATGACCATTTCTACTTTTTCTGCCTTATAGTTCTCAAATGTCCTTAAACAATCCACTTCTTGAGATCTGCAGGGCACTTGACAGACCAAAAGATTCTGCCAGAATGTATTAAATTACACATAGTGGGACTGTATGGAGTCTAGCCTACACCAACGGCTTCTTATCCCCAGCACACAGGTTCAAAGCCCTGAAGACCCTACAATGCAATTGAAAATAACCACTCTTTATCGTCTTCAAATCCAGAAGATAAAACACAAACCCAAAGTTGGGATTTTAGGACTTATGGTCAAAATAATCCTCAATATCAATACAACAGCATGAATGTTCTGTCAAACTCTTAAAAAACTCAGTCTGTAGCTCCATATAAAATACACCAATGAATAGTGTCCACTGACACTGGTCCCTTTCCCATCTCTTCTTGATCAACTATTGCTCTTTTGGATATCTGCACATCTACATGCATGTTAATTTATGGATAAACATTCACAGACACATGTGTATATGCTATGCTCACTTTGATTCATAACTTCACACGTGTAAATGATCTTAGAATCACAGGGTTAGGACATGAGAGAAAAATAGATGAACCCCTATGGAAAGTGGAAACTGGCCTGTTTCCTAAAGAAAATGGACACGTAGACAGACACAGATAGTAGGAACACACACAAATATATGCCATCATGACATGTACAATAGTACTTTTTAAAAATGGTATTTCATGTATACCAGGAAAAACAAAACCAGTCTAGGCAAAATCCATCTAGCTTGCTCTAGCCCACCCCCCTTCTCTCACTAGTTCCAACAACTGTCTTGAATTTAGGGATTTTTTTCCCCTTCCTATTGTCTTCTTTTTATAGTTGGTGCACATACACAATAAACTGTATTATTTTGCATTCTGTAAAAATTAAGTCTGTTTGTAGCTTACTTTTCTCAACTTCATATCTTTGAGATGAACATTATATATACACATTTGTATTTAATCCATTTTCTTGAACTGTACAGTATTTCATGTATACAGTTTAAGACTATGTATAACTACATATCTAGTCCCCAGTTGAGTTATTTCCTACTGTTACAAACCCTAACCTATTGGTCTGCTGGTAAACAATAGTGACAAAACCAAGCCAGGCATTGGTGGTGCACGCCTTTAATCCCAGCACTCAGCAGGCAGAGGCAGGCGGATCTCTGTGAGTTCGGAGGCCAGCCAGGTCTCCAGAGTGAGTGCCAGGATAGGCTCCAAAGCTACACAGAGAAACCCTGTCTCGAAAAATAAACAAACAAACAAAAAGTGACAAAACCATGCAAATAAGTTTCCAAACTTGTTACACAATGCTCTTCTCTCAACTGCCATTGTATCCATGTCACAAACATGGTAAATGTAAGACTTTTCAATTGCTACCAATCTACTAGAACTCAGAGTTGTGGTTTTCCTTTACTGCATTTTCACTGGTTTTCTTAACTGCCTTACTTTCAAATGAATACATACAGGAAATAAAGAGGGGTAACATTTTGAAATAGAAAAATAGTGATGGGGACAATTTTAAAAAAGAAACCTTTCCCCCAAATCCCTGTAGTTTTCCTCCAGAAAGAAGCATCTTACCTTCTTTTCTTGAGATGACCCTGCTCCTTTTCAAATTCATGAAGACCAAAAGGAAGGTTCAAATTAGCAGTGTGAGAAACAGCCAGTGACATGCAAGGCTGCAGGGCTGCAGTATTCGCTGTCCCCTCACTGTCATCACTGAGTGAATGCCCACAGGGACTGGTGTCAGGAGGAAGGATGTGTTTGCAAGCCTGAGGCCCCAGAGTGGACCTCATGGATTCGGGGCTGGTATGGGCAGAGAGTCCCTCTAGGTTTATATAATTGATGTCCAAATCACCAACCTGGATATTGGAAGAGAACATTTTGTCAAACAAAAGCAGGACACAGTGGTTTAATTAAAATCAACAAAACCTCCAGAGTTAAAAAGCAAATCTCCACCATATTTACCTTTTTCTTCTATTTGTGCTTTATGTAACCAGAGAATTCCTTTACGGTAAATTTGTGTTCGTGTGGCCTATCCCATGATCCTGTATCACTATCCCATAATTCTCAAAAGGAGGAAGCATAGCCTGTAAACTAAGCACAATCTGGCTGTCCTTTTCACATTTTATGAGCAACTATGTCAAAATTAGGGGGCACATGTTGTTAAATAACTGAGGAAACACCAAAGAGTACCAGCTTTATTCAAAATATGGTTCATAAGAATTGTCACGGTAGGTACGAAAGTCTGAGTTTCCCTAACAAGCGTCACTAAATGAAGAACAAATCAAACTACATGAAGTGCATTGTATAACTAGAAGATCTTTTAATGTCCAAACCTCAAATTACCTGTAAATAAAACAAGGATTAAAGTCAGCAAGCAACACTATATTCATAGCTGAGCGCCCAGCAGAGAGTAGGAAAGGCCTAGTTCTATCCATTTGCATGCGAATTTCAAGATTCCATTGTTTTGTTTCCCCAATGAGTAGCACTCCATTGTGTAAACGTACCACATTTTCTCTATCCATTCTCCAATGAGGTAACCGAGTCACAAAAAGACAAACATGGTATGTACTCATTCATATGTGGATTTTAGACATAGAGTAAGGACACCACCAGAGAAGCTAGTAAACAAGGAGGACCCTAAGAGAGACATACATGGTCCCCTAGAGAAGGGGAAAGGGACAAGGTCTCCTGAGCAAATTCGGAGCATGGTGGGAGGGAAGAGGGAACTAGGAAAATGAGAAGGGGAGAAGAGGAGGGGTGAGGAAGACATGATGGGGCAGGGAGATTGAATTGGGGGAAGAACAGACGAGAGCAATAAGAGATAATATAATAGAGGGAAACATTATAAGTTTAAAGAGAAATTAAGCACTAGGGAAATGTCTGGAGAGCTACAAAGATGACACCAACTAACAATCTAAGCAACAGAGGAGAGGCTACCTTAAATGCTCTCTCCTGATAATGAGATTGATGACTAATTCATATGCCATCGTATAGCCTTTAACCAGCAGCTGGTGGAAGTAGAAGCAGACACCCACAGCTAAACCTTGAACTGAACTGAAATCCAGATGCAGAGAAGGAGGAGTGATGAACATAGGGGTTCATACCAGGCTGATGAAACCCACAGAAACACCTGACTTGAACAAGGGAGAGCTCTTGGTCCCCAGACTGATAGCTGGGAAACCAGCATGGGACTGATCCAGATCCCCTAAATGTGGCTGTCAGTGAGGAGACCTTGGAAATCTATCAGGCCCCTTGTAGTGGATCAGTACTTTCCCTAGCATAGGAAAGGACACTCGGAGCCCTCCCCACATGGAGGGATACTCCCTGAGCCTAGATACAAGGGGGTTTGGCCTAGGCCCTATACCAAAGGATATGACAGACTTTGAAGACCCCCTACAGAAGGCCTCACCCTCAATGGGAAGCAGAAAGAATATGGGATAGGTAGGGTATTAGTTGGGGGGCAGGGGAGGAGGAGAGGGAGAGGAACCTGGGATTAACATATAAAATAATCTTCCTTCTAATTAAAATAAACAAAAAAAGAGACAGAAACAAGTGGGGAAAGAGGAGAAATCAGAGGGGAGCCTGAAACTTACCTACATTCATTGGCAGACAGAACGCCACATTGCACACATGGAAAAGAGCCCCGGATGATCAAAACACTTGCTCTGAGACAGGGCGTTTCATGTGCTTGTGAATTAGGTGTGGTTGTCTAATGGCATCATTTCTCAGGAACAGACAAGGAAAAGGAAGAGAGAAACACCCCTGTAGAGAGGACTGTAGGCCGGAGGAGGAGCTCCATAGTAGAAAACACCCTAGCAAATGCAAAGCCCTGGATTCGATTCCCAGCACCAAAGAGTAAAGGGATAAATGGGGAGGGAAAGTCAGAGTGAGTGGGATTATTAGGGTCCTAGATTATCAACAATCATCTTAGTAATTTACTACAACAAAACCCAATAGAAATGCTCCAGGCAGTAAATGAGACTCTGAGAGTAACAGGAAGGGCCATGATAATACCTCAGTTGGTAAAGTACTGAGGACATGAATTGGAATACCCAGAACCCATAGCCAAGCCAGGCATGGTGGTGCATATCTGTGAACCCAACAGTGGGAGGAAATAGACCAAGGATGCCTATAGCTTGCTGGTCAACCAGTCTAGCTGATCTTGCCTTACTGTACAAATTCGTGGACCCTTTACTATGTTTATTGAATTGGGCTGTCTGTATTCTCTTTTTCTTGTTTGTTTCATATTATCAAAGCAGCATTTCTCTCACCTAAAGTAGCCATAAACAAAAATTATACCCGAATTTCATCTTTGAGGCTTCTCCCCAATTTTTAGTGCATTTTTTGGACATGGTAATGACAGTTTCTCCACACAAAGTTAAAGCATTTTGGAGTAAATCAAAGTAGAATCAATAATATGCCCAGTGAGGCTCAGAACAAGATGAAATAAAGACCCAAAAGGCCCACTGGAATTATGGAGGTAATGTAATAAAATAAAAAAACCTCATTAAAACAAGAAATATCCGTATACAGAAAACTATGACACCAATGAAATAATTTGAAAAAGACACAGAGAAATGTAAAGATAACCTTGTGCTCACATATAGAAAGAACTGGTGTCCTCTGACCTCCACATATGCAGATATGGACTCACACACACACACACACACACACACACACACACACACACACACACACACACACACACACACCTCACACCCCCAACACATAAC